GACTCTCTGTAAACCGCTTAGAGAGGCCTGAAAGGCCAATGAAGCGGTATATAAGTCTACTGCTATTGCTATTTGCTTTGACTGCCCAGTTCTGCAAAGGCTGTGGCCTGGTATTAAGCCATAGCCCAAGAGTTGGGTACTTCCTGGTCTACAATATTGTGCAGGCAAGCTGATTAGCTCTTAGATCAAATTTTTCTAAGTTAAATTGCTGATAAAAATAATGTTCTGTTCAAATTCTTGCATTGTCTCTGAATAGGCATGACTCAGAATAATTACTAAGGTCATGCTTGCCAAAGTGTTTTTAGCAATGTTGTTCCCTGTTAAGCTAGGATACAGAGGAGTACATATTGCATGGAAATGATATGGACAAGAAGTATAGTACAAAAATGAAACCATCAGCATACAATGGTGTTGAATATGTCATTGCAAGATTAACAGGTCTGCTTATTAGTTATTTGCTGAGGCTCATGAAGCCTATTCTTAGCATGACATGTGAAAGTATGACTAATTTGTTTGACACGAAGACCATGTGCTATACAATTAGAATTATGATAGGAATGGGCAAACACTGAAAGTTATGCTTGTTTTAATAACATAGTTAATGAGCCTTGGGATACACTTCAGATATAGTTAAGCTAAATAATATTTAAGATGTGGGATAATAGGACAGAACATAGGCAAATGTTCTATAAAGTCCTAAAAGCCACCTTTTCCTGTGCTCTACATCTATACTGTTCATAATCTCACAGATCAAAGTTATGAAATACAGCTCCACATAATCTTGCTTCTTTGTATAGGTAAGGCAGTGTATGCAACTGGTACTAGTATGTCTTCTGAACCATGAGTAGATGTGCTCCAGAGCATCATACATCATGCATTTGTGAAGCTCTGCATTTTACCTGGCCCCCCGTTTCAAAGAATGTTGCCATTTTAGCATAGTAATACCACCCTATGAAAGACATAGAAGACTTTTATTTATTTAAATAGTATTTATTGGCAAGAACTTCTTTATTACTACCCAATTTTCCATCTTAGCTGCAAAAGTCAACTGTAGCATTTTTTTTTTCTTGTGACTAAAAATTTCACAGGTCTGAGCAATATCTTTTATGTGGAAGACAACTCATTGCAGTGTATAATGGTATCATAAGGCGTACTTTGGTGCCAAATGGCAAGTTCCTTGGCAATCACCGTTAATATCATAAGATCAGTACTTGTAGAAATATAGATACTACATTATAATCCTGAAGACTTTTGTCTCCTGTTCTGAAAAGCAAAGGACTTGTGTTATTGGTAGGAGTGTGTCTGTGGAAAATGAGGAGGTCTGACCAAGACAAAATTATAAACCTCCTTTTCCCCCTCAGGAGACTTGTATAATTTATTTCTTACCACATTTTATCTAAGAGATCTCTTAGAAATGTTTACAAGTTGCATAGTAAGCAGAATATATTTGGAATTCTTGCTGAAGTATAGGTCATAAATATTATAGGCAAATCATCCAAAATGGGGCATGTGCGCACAATTATGAGAACGACATTTAGCTTTGAGTATTCTATAAACATCCAGATTGGATTGGGCAGCCCTTTCCCATTATCCAAAGTAGCAAGGTTTTCCTCCAGAAATGGTTTGTTTGGTACCCAAAAGCTAGCTCAACTACCCATCATTGTTTTGTAGTCCTCTTCTTATAACCTAGATTCAACAGTCTGGTCTGGTTTCTTTTCAGAGCAGCATTACACAACATTCTCTCTTTCCTCCCATTTCTAAGTTATTTCTGCTTTACAGTTAGCCAGTTGGGTACAAAGAGTCAATTCACTTCCTATCTATGCTTTGCTGAATACTGAATGACTGTCCTTTAGAATGTTTTAAACTGTAATGATAATAGAGATAACCTAGTCTACAAAATATACCAATTTCCTCATCAGGCTGAGACTAAGATGAATTCAGTGTTCAGTAATCAGTATTCAGTTAAGGGGCACTACGGAAAAACATGTTTATTAAACATGGCCTGTAGTATGACTTGTATAACTTGACTAATATTCAGGCAAATAGCATGTACATGTGTTCATGTAAACAGATGGTATTATCCTGGTTTTTTTTCCCCCTGTCATTCAATCATGTACATTCTTAGACATTGCCTGGGACTGAAGTTCCTATAGTTTTCCTGGCAAGATTTTTCAGAAATGGTTTGCCATTGTGCCCTTCCCTGGATTGAGAGAAAGTGATTAGCTAAAGGTTATCAACTGCCTTGTGACTAAGGTAGAACTAGAACTCATGACTGTTAAGTTTACCAAGTGAGAAGCAATAACATTTATCATTTGGTAAACTTATATTTGGGAAGACTCAAGTAGTTTGTGTGTGACTATTTGTGAATTTCTCATTGTGTTTCAAATTTGTCTCCAAAATATTGTGATAAGATTAAAATTGGAGTTAAGTTGCCTGAAGTGTCACAGTAACACCATATATGTCTTTGAGCAACAAAGGGTAGGGCATAATTCCTTGGAGAATAAGATGATTAAGGCATAGATGTGCATTTACAAAGACAATTTTCACTATTGATTTCAGAAGATAGAAATTGTTTCAAGACACAAATAAACTAAACACAGATATGATTCCATTATTACTGATTTTAATAGACATGAGGATCATAAATGTTTAACATGTTTATTAACATAAAAAATAAAGAAGAGTTTGTTATCTTTTCAGTGTACATTATATCATTTTGCTGTCCATTTGACAGATTTTTCAGCTAACTGCATGGTTCCAGGAGTTTCCCACCTCCATTAATCTTACAATGCAATTGCAATCCTGTAATCTTTATTACATTCAATAAGATTTATTTTTGAGTAGACATGCCCTTTAAGCTTTCTCCTAATGATTCCTATGTAACCAACCTGCATTGTGTAATTGAATGTGATGAAATTAGACATTGTTTCCAATTTTGTTTTACACAATAACTTCCCTAGATAAACACTAGTATTTCTTGTACACCTTACTTTCTTAATAAGGACACATCCTTAAAGCTACAGTTCTCTTTAAACGTATACCCACATGCCCTCCCCCTCCCCGTTTGCTTTCATCATACTGATAACCAAAGCTCTTCGGGGCTCTTGGTTCGCCTTCTCTGCAGAAGCATCCCGGCCTGAGTCCGACCATCTCAAAGTAACCTACCTTAGGGTCCCCTATGTCAAGACAACCTCCTGCCACGCCCCTTCTTGGCCGCGGAAGCTGCTTTTACGATTTCTCTCCAAGATGCACTGCTCGAGTCTTTTGTTTTGCAATGACTGCCGTGAAAAAAAGGAATCCCTAGGCCAGGTCTCAACTTTCCAGGAAAAGAATCTGATTTCCGCCTTTGACCTGGGGACACGTCTCCCCTCCGCCATAATCCCACTAAAAGAGGAGATAAATTATCTCAAACCGGCTTAACTTTTATCGCTCGTGTAGCCGCACATCCATTCTCTAGGTCCTCCCTCAACCCCATCGCCACACCCCATGCTTCTAGCACCTCCTTGCACTGACCTCTCCCCTCCCCCCAACCTTTTCTCACCACCACCGCCAACTCCCCCCTCCCGCACGTGCAAATCTCGCGAGACAATATGCATTTTCACAAGTAGTGCTTCCCCCCCCCCCGTTTTTTGCACCAATCGATCCAGGGCTGGGCTTAAAAAATGACTAAGTAAAGAAGGGCGGGGGGGGGAAAGGGGTGTAGAGAAGGGGGGGGAGAGAAAAAGTGAAATGTGGGGGTGCCCCTCCCCCATCGATCGCAACTTGCAATCCCCCCACACACACACCTGACTAGCCTTTTTTTTGTAACCCCCTCTCCCATCCCGCCCCCGCCCTTTCCCTCTGTAATCTGTTCCTTGGGGGAAAGGAGGTGAAGAGTCCCTCAATTCCTCCCGGGAGCGAAGCTACCTTTGCCGGGGACAGAAACTACGCGAGCCCGAGGATTTTGCGGCCTGTATTTCTCCCGGGTCTCTGCTGAGAGAAGGCACCCCAGCTGCTTCTCCTCCCCCCCAACAACCCCTCTCTTTCCCTCCCTCACCACCTTCTCCTTGTGAGAAAAAAAAAAGTCCCCGCAGCTGTCTAGCTAGGAGTGAAGCCGAGCCACCACAGGTGAGATGCGTCCCGTGAAACTGTCCCTCATCCCCACGTTGTTGGGAGAGAAAAAGGACTCACTTCTCTCCATAGCTATCAAGACTAGTAGGCGGGTGTGCAGGCCGGGTGGCCTTTCCTGTCTTCCTTGCAGGCCTCGGGGTTGGGACGTGGTGGTGCTCCTGCAACTACTTAAGTCTCTTCGGCGGTGATGTACGTATTATTTAAAGGGAGGGGGATGCTGGCCTTGGGTTCGCTTTTTCCTGTTCCGCTCCGCTGCCTTAATTGCTGTGCAGATATCGCCGGAGACGAGGTTGCTGGCCGACCGTCCGGGCCTCGGAGCCCTTCGCCTGCTTGCTACGATGGTAACTATGCGGAGGGAAGGGGAACGCGCGCCCCCCACCCCCGCGTTAAGCCTCAGAAACGGGGTTCCCGTTGCTATGGTAACGCTTATAGGGGGCATACCAGCACGCGCGCGCGTGTTTTGTAGGCCGTGGGTAGAGGAGAGTTTATTCTGTTTTAAGAATAAGGAAATCCATTGGGGAGGGGGGATATTATTGGGTGGGGGGTGGTGGATAGTCGCGCATGGCGACCGTATTTGCCGCCCCGCGTGTGGGCCTCGGGGCGATCCTGCATCGCGGAGTTGGAAGGGGTGCATCTGAGGGCTGCGAGAGGGCGAGTAATGGGGGGCCGCGAACGCGAACGCCCGGCTGTTGCTATGGGAGCGTTCTGGTCGGTTGCGGGGATCCCTTCCTCGCGGCCATAAAAGCGATGGGTGGGTGGGAGAGACTGAGGCTGCTCCTTTCTGGGAGTGTCGTGGGGTCCCGCTTACTCCTCGAGCGAAACTCAGGGTGCTGTTGAAGGTTGGCTGGGCCTAACTTCAAGGACTGGATCTTGGCCTAGAACTGTGGTGGCTATTGGGGTGTATCCTGTAGGTTGCGAGATGGCTGCGACCACATCCTCGGGGGAGGGAAGGCCAGGAAGAGTAGTAGTAACTTCAGCTGGAAGTTTGGGTAGGTTCGGGGCCGGTTCTTAATCGATTAAAAGGGGTTCAAAGGAGGGCGGGTCTGTTCCTCTGGCCATAACTAGAGATCTAAGTTAGATGGATGAATTCCTGTTGGTGTCAATGAGTGGATTTGGAAGGAGCGATTACTTTTAGAAGCTGATAGTCCCATACTACTTGGTAACTTCTCTCTGTTAATTATTTGGGAGGGTGTGTGTTTCATCTTTCTAATGAAAATGGTTTGTAATGTATCCCACAGATATTTAGACTGCCAAGATCTAGTTTGCATTACATTACCAGTAATAGGGTTAGGGTTAGACCAATAGCTATCAGAAATTGATAAGCCGCACATGAATGCTATATCTTAGGAAACTAGGAAATGAATGTTAACAATGTATCTTTGAAAATACATTTCCTGTATATCACAGGAAATGGAATGGAAGAGTACAGTAAACGTACTTGTCAAAGGAGCAGAAAAAGTTTGATGGCTTATTATAAAACTTGATAGGTTTATAACTGAAAGGGGATTGTTTTTTCATGTCCATGCTTGAACGTGACTGCTACCTTACTTCATTTTGGTACTCTCCAGATGTATTACAATGGAGTTCCCCAAATTCCTAAAAAGTATGGTATGCTGTTTGAAAAATCTGAAGTTCGTGATCCCAGCACATGTGGAATTTACACCAAATTGGAGAAAGCTGAAATGAACACTTTTCCATTAACACGCTGCTTTCCCCCTCCCCCCTTCCTTCAAACATAAATTTCTTAATTTTTTTTGTCAAAGGTTCTGAGGGGAATGTAGAGGAGTAAATAACTAGGTGTTCTTAAAATATTGCATTATTGTAATTTAGGAAAAGATTTATTTAAATATTCTATGTTCAACATTTTGGGAAGTTATATCTTTTATAGTTTTTTAACATAATTAGAAGCTACTTCTATAAGGCTTTGATTCATAAATTCATTGGACATTCCTCTACTAGTAGTATGCTATTGTGGTCATCTCATAATTCTTTGCATCCATCTATTAAAATATTTGAGGTGAATAAATTAACATAAAATCTCAGGCAGAAAGACTTAACAGTAGAATAAAGGCAATAACGATGCTTGATGGAGAAGGAGAATCTTATTTTACCATTTGAAATGCCAGCAGGATGAAGTGAATCTTCTTAGATAGGGAATTCCAAACAGACTGCACCATAATTCAGACTAAACCTAGTTCTGATATTGGCAGATCTGAAAGGTGAACTTGTCCATAAAATGTAACTAAACATTTAGCCTTATATGGGAGAAAACAGTCCTTTGGGTATTCTGTTGTACTATTTCATGTCAAATTATAAAAAATATCTCCCTGTTTTTTATAATGGTCACTGAACTTTAACAATATCCACATATGGTTTTCTTCTACAGCAGTCTTCCAGAGAAATGATGTTGGAGTAAAATAAAAAGCAAAGAGAATAATTGGTGTGATGTCAGTATGCATTTCTCTCTCTCTCTCTAAAGGGCATTTGCTGCCCTTCAGGAATATTCCTCCTAAGCATGTGCTAGATGCTGAGTGATTCAGTACCTTATCATTTGTTGGGGAAATGAAAATAGAACAAATCTGGGAATAAAGTATTTGGAAATGTATGAATCAGTCAATCTGATACTTCTCAATTATGCCATTTTGCTTATAATCGGTTCACTTATTTCATTGAAACTGTTCAAGCAAAATTTTGCTGTCATGTCTATTTGTTCTATAACTAAGATATTCTCTAAGCTTTGCAATAGTACGGTGCTCTAAAATGATGTATGAATTTGGATTATTCCCACGAATAAAATTAAAAAAGGTTTTTTTAAAGAAAAAAAACTCATGACTGGTGAATTGTTCTGACAGATTGCTAGACCCACAGATTCAGCTATTTCTCAAAACTTCCTCTGGACTTTGCCTATGTAAACGGATTACAGTTCACTCCAGGGTCTGCTGCCTGCTTTGCCAGGACTCCCATTATGGATATGCCCAAGTAAAGCAGGAGTGACTTTTGACAGTGCTCCAGCTTTTCCTGCATAGGTCTTACTAGATTTAAACAATGTGTGCTTCTTTCTAAATTGCTGGCCACCCATAAAGATTCACAATACATAATTTGAGAACCTTGTGCTATAATTGTTTAATACCCTAATAATATGTTCCTGGTAGAGCTGACTGGAATTTCATCAGTTAGTAGAAAATGACAAGTAAATGCTTCTTATTAACCATTCATGGTCTTGTTTTTATTGAAAAAAAGTAGAGGTTGACTAATAATTATACAATAGAGAACATTTGGTAACTATTTTGTTTAGGAATATATTTGTATTTTAAATTTTTAAAAAGGAATACTTGCTATATTTTATTTCCCAGAGATAATGTCAGGTCTAAAGAGGAATGTGATTAAGAATTGAGTTTCTAGGAACATGCAATCCGCTACTGTGCATGTAAGGTCACTTTGGAATTCTATCTTAATACAGTTTCATATATCAGGTTGCTTATGTGCCTGTTGTTGGAACTTGTCCCTCCCAGTTAATACTGAACAATGAACATAACAGAAAGGAGCCCTTCAGAAGAGAGCTGTCTGTTCAATTTCTAAATATCTTGGATAGTAAAAGCAAGTCATGTAGTTTGATGTGAACAATAGTTGATGATGAGTAATGAAAATATTTGATGCAATTTTAATACTCCCTTGTTGCAAGAGAATATCTGATTGGTACAGTCATTTTAGAGCACATTATGGTACTGTATGTACATATACAATTGTACTATTCCTCTGAAGTTATGCTATAGAACTGTAATTAAACCTTTCCTTATACCATTTGTTTTAACAGCATTAGTTTGCAGTTTGAATTCAACAGCTCTCCATCCTTAATTTCCTAATGTGAAGGAGATGTTTATCTCCTGGAATAATTCTAATGTAAAATATTTCATTGATATTGAATTCCAATAAACACAGTATACACACGTACATACATACATACATACATACATACATACATACATACATACATACATACATACATACATAGTGTAGACAAGTTGACACTTCTAGAGGAGAAAATGCTGATGTGTAATTTTTTGCTACAGGAATGGAGATTTAAGGCATTTTTAGACTAAGCTACAGTAGTTTGTTTAAGTATGCTACTTGAACTTTGTTGTGGTTTATAAACAGCTTTTTGCTTAGAATGTTGAGCGAACCCAGCCAATTATTTATTTAGTAAAGCGTAGATAAGTGAATAAGAAGTGACTAAATTTGAAAAATCCATTGCAATTGTGTTCATTTAAATGGAGAAAGTGATAGTACAATATTCTTATAGTTGTATAATATATATAAGTGAACGTAAAGAGTCAGTTTGGTCTAGTGGTTAAGGCATCGGTTTAGAAAGCAGGTGATTGTGATTTCAACCCATGGCTTAACCAAGAAAGCCAGCTGGGTGACTTTGTGCCAGTCACTCTCTCTCAGCCCAATTCATCTCATAAGGTGGTTGTGGGGGAAAATAGAAGGAAGGTATATTGGCTATGTTGCCACTTTCAGTTACTTGTGAAAATAATAAAGACAGAATACAACTAAATGGTAAATTAATGTACTAACTAAACCTGAACAAATGAATATTTAATGTTATAGAAGTGTAAATACTACTTTGATATACCTCTTCTAATACTAGAGATTTGGACCGTGAAAAAGGCCATTATGTAAATAAATTCATACTAATCCAGTAATTAGAAGAATATTATTAATGGAGTATTAATTTGGATAGCATTGACTGTTCTTAAAGTGTTCTATTTTCTTTACCAGCAGATATGATGGAAGAATTGCACAGCCTGGATCCACGACGACAGGAACTATTAGAGGCCAGGTTTACTGGAGCAGGTGTTGCTAAGGTTAGTTATGTGCACAACCAGTTGGCTAATTGTATGTATGTCTCTGCATGTTTTGGTAACATTTTATGAGATGGGGATATGTAAAATAGCAGGGATACAATCAACATCTGCATAATCATATTTCATACAAAGGAATTGATTCAAAGTCTTATACCAACTTGTTGATTTCAGTTATAAGTATGATAATAATGAAACTTGTCCAGGCCATATAAGTTGATAGTTTATTGAGCAGCATCTTTAAAATCAACATATTTGTGACTGGCCTTTTTAAATCATATTCTAAAGCAGACTTGTGCAATTAGTAAAGGGGCCACATTGATAAAATAAAACATTAAAAAGTAGTTAAAATTCAACTTTCAAATGCCAAAAGAATTAAAGTAATTAGCTGCATTTCACATCTTCCAAAAATTCTTCTTTTTTACAAGCATCCTCCAAATTTTCAGAATACATTATCATATACAGTAGAGGTACTACTTTATAGACAGCCTATACCCAGTAATTGACAGGTTTTGCTGTCGTGAAATAAAACCTAATATCTAATTCAAGTTTATTTCTCTGTAGTTGTACTTATTGGTTCCAGACCTGCCCTCTCTAGTAGATGAGTCTACTTTCTCAGCAGTATGACAACCCTATAAATAATTTGAAACTTAACATTCTTTTAAGCAAACTAAAATGGTTATTTCCTTTTACTATTCCTTTTAGAACTTGGTTTCTAGTCTCCAACTTTGTCAAATTTGTTTCACTTTGTCAGTGCTCATTTTACACTGCTGTGTCCAGAGCAATATTCCAAGTAGGCCTTGATAAGAGATAGAATAGAATAAAAAATTTCATCCCATTGTCTATACTCAATCCTATTAGTGGCTTTATTACAGTGTTAGCTAATATCAATGTGTGCTTTGCTAGAAGATTCATATTCTTTTCACACTTATATTATCATGGTAGATTTCCCCATTTTGTTTTCTCCTAAGTTGCTGTCATTTACATTTCTTCATAAAACTTGACCCTATTCATTTTCAGTCTTCTAAAGTCTTAGCCACATTTTTGTGTGTATAACTTACATTTTGTTATCCCATTTTCTTAACCTCTTCATCCAGGTTATTATAAAAACATTGAATAACAGATAACATAAAACAGTGCTGTGGTATTCTGCTTATTAGTCATTCAGCCAATTAGAATTTCATCTAACAATTTGTCATTTATCCTGTAGTCTACCACATATTTTACCATTTTATTAGTAAAGTATCATGTGAGATATTGTGGAATGCTTTTCTGGTTTGATAAAAATGTACTCTTACCTCTAGCAATGCCTAATCTGCCATGCTTTCCTGAAAATAAGACCTGATCTTATATTTTTTGGGGCGCCAACATAAGCATAAGGACTTATTTTCAAGAAAACACAATTTCAGGGTGATAAGGCCAACTGGGTCGTGTGTGTGCCCCCCCCCCCCCCGCCCGTGTACAAGAAATGCCTCTGTCTGTTAGACTAGAAAGAGAGATAAGAATCTGAATTGTCATACTTTATAGTTTAATTATCAGTGACTTTCATGGTCAAATGAATACAAATATACAGTTCATTTAAAGAAGACAAAATTTCCTGTTGGTAACACACTTTTGTTTCCTTTACACTAGGGTCCCTTGAACAATGAATCTTCCAATCAGAGTTTGTGCAGTATGGGTTCCCTGAGTGACAAGGAAGTGGAGGTAACTAAAAAGTGATATTTTTCAAATAATCCTCATAGAGGAGTTTAGCCCAAAATTTCAGCCACTACGTGATGTGGTCATTAAGTCATCAGGTGACCAGACTCAATTTTATGACTACTATGTAGTTATTGAACAAATCACTGCAGGCATTAAGGATACTATTGGAATCATTAAGTGAATCACAGACTTTAAGTGAATCTGGCTTCCACAATTAACTTTGCTTATCAAAAGCCATCTGAGAGGTTGCAGATTTGCAACAAGATGCTGATCAGTTGAAAATATGAACTAGTTGCTAAGTACCTAATTTGCAATCACATGACCCCAACAACATGACAGTTGTAACTCACTTTTTCCATGGTTGTTGTAATCTTAGACAAACAATCATAAATGGAGGACTGCATATATTGCAGCTAACTTTGCTCCAAAAGTCTTAATTTAATCTTTGACAATAAAAAATATTCTGCTTAACTCAGGACTATTACAGCAACTTAACTAATTAATTTACACTAATCAGTAATTGGTTATTTAGGCAGTATGGTGTTCCATAATTACCTCTAAACATACCAAAAATAGAAATATAACCTGTTTTGATACCTGTGGAGGAGTTGCTGGTAACTATATTTCATTTTTTTAAAAGTTGTGACCTTAAATCCTTGGATGTTTGTAGAAATTAATTTGGTTTTTTTCCCATCCCTTTAAGACACCTGAAAAGAAACAGAATGATCAGCGCAACAGAAAAAGAAAAGGCGAACCACTTGAAACGAACCAAAGTAAGGCTTCTATTTAGGATCTTTTAAAAATGATGGCTTTCTGCAGTATATACAGAACATATGAAATAATTTCAAATATATCATGAAATTATTATGTATTAGATAATGAAATGATATGCTATGCTTTATTTTGGAACATTTTTTGGAAAAGTTATGTTAAAATGGGCTGTATTGAAAATGGTATGTTGAAGAAAGTTAATTTAAACTGTAATTGATACTTAAGTAAATGTGTCTTTTCTGCTGTTTATTTTTTATATACCTACCAGTATAATATGTTCATAAAGAGTAACCAGAAGCTCTTAACTTCAAGTTGCATTCAGCAGCTTTTGCAGTAAAATTAAGTATTTTCAAATTATTTGATTTAATATCACTTATGGTAATGCTATTTGTTTTTCTTTTCAGACAAAATTATTCCCAGGGGACATAAAATTAGTGACTACTTTGAGGTAAACCAAATATTTTTTGTTACACACATACACACTCACACTCACACTGTTTCCCTGAAAATAAGATCCCGAAAATAAGACCTAGCATATTTTACACATGCATCTAATATAAGCCCTACCACCACCACCCCAAATAAGCCCTACTTAGGAGCCTGTGTATCCCGCCCATTCCATCTGGTTGCTCCTAGTGCAGCAGCCACAAAGCGAGGTGGGATGGTGGTGGACCTGCCCCAGGCACCCTGAACTGGCTTACCTCAGGACTCCTGCAGCCAGGCCATCCACGCCTCAACAGCTGTCTCATGGCAGCAGCACTAGTACCCATGTGCAGCAGGAGCCCACATGGCCACTGGCCCATTTCTGTTTGCTCGTGGCCACAGTGGAGCAGGAGGTTGAGTGGTGTGTTGGTGCCACAAGGTGTGGCAGGTACAAGGATGTGGATAGTCTGGCTGCGGGATCCTAAGGTAAGCCAGTGGAGCAGGAGGTTGAGTGGTGTGTTGGTGCCACAAGATGAGGCAGGTGCAAGGGTGTGGATAGTCTGGCTGCAGGATCCTAAGGTAAGCCAGTGCATGGGGCAGCTCCATCCACCCCACCTCGCCTCATGGCCTCGGCACTGGCACATTGCGCAGTGTGATGCCCCTGTTGGAGTCTGAATCTGCAATGAAAGATGAGCTGAAACAAGAATTGACAGAGTTGAAGAGGCTGGCTCCATTGGCCTTCGAGGAAACTGGGGAAGGGCAGAGTCAGTCCAAGCAAGGCTTTTCTGAATTAGTAAGGCCTACAGACAGAGAGAGCTTAGGAGAAGAGCAAGGACTACCCTCTCCTGATCCGACAGCAAGGACGGAAGAGAGAGTGAGATCAACACAGATTGAGTCAGCTACGAGGGAGGAGAGTGCCCTTCCCCCTTTCCCAAGGCACACCTGGGGACAGAGATGTAAGGAGGTGCTGGTGGGAGGGGCATTTGTTGGGAACAAACATTGAATATGTGGAACTTTGTGTGCACTTGGCAAAATCTGGAGATTGTTGTACTCTGTCTTGTGGAACTTGCCAGTTTGCATGCTTCGCTGAACTTCTTGCTCTGGTTACTGTTTAGCTAACCTGGCTTATTGGGCTGCTGGCCCTGGTTAATGTTTGGGCTAACCTGGCTTATTAGACTGCTGGCCTTGGTTGCTGTTTGGTTAACATGGCTTACTGGACTACTTGCAGCCAGAGACTTCTGAAGGTGCATGTGAGAGCTTTGCTCCAGGACTTGTAGTAAGTTGGAGTAATAAAGGGGAGTTAAACCTGTTCTCTGGTTCTTTTGCTTTCATGCCATGCCCTACGTCATCACATTTTGTTCCCGACCCAACTCCAGCTTGCTCTTCCGTACCACTTTGGGTAACCATGGATCAGCTCCAAGGAGACAATGATCTGTTAGTTCAGCAGGTGACCCTCCTGACTGCGCAGGTTGTGCAGATGCAAGCATTGTAGCCCAACAGCAGCGAACGGAGCTGGCAGCAGATTCAGACAGTGAGGAGGTTATGGAGGAATATGGGCCAGCCCTGGAGTCTGGGGAAGGCTCTGATGAGGGCTCTGTGTCGAAGGCAGAGACACAGTTGTCAGTTATTAGCTGCCTTTAGAGTCAGACGTGAGTGAGGCAGAGGAACAGATGGAGCCTGTTCCCAGTGTGCACAGTTACAAAGGGAACAGCTAAAGAACGGGTCAACTTGGCAGTAAGGCTACATGTGGACGATGAATGGCCCCTCCTAGAAGAAATAAAAGAGGAATGAAAGGGGAGGAGAATTTGCAGGACACAATTAGTTTGCTTAATTGGTTCGTGATTCTCCAAGACTCTTTGTCAAGTTTTGCAGACATTGGTCTGTCATCCAAACCAGATAAGGTCTATGACTGTAAATTCTCCCTCGAAAGACTTTGCTGGATGTGAATGAGCAGAATTCACAGTAATAAAAGATTTTTTGTTGTGACAAGGAGTTTGCTTCATGCTCTTGAGAAGCCTAGGTCAGAACAGCAAGCAGCCAGGCCATGCCGCAAATGCCCAGTAGCTATGCCAGATGGGTTCAATGGCTCTCTGGCCCAATTTTCAGTGTTTTGTGGACAATGACAGTTTATACGAGCCTTCCGCCCAAGGACTTCTCTGCTGACCAGGATAAAGTGGGATTTTTAATCAGCCTTTTGTCAAGGTCAGCGGTGTATTGGGTGATGCCCCTGCTGACCCAGTCCAACCTGCTGTTGAATAATTATGCCAAGTTTTGCCGTCAGCTAAGGGCTTTGTTTGTGGACTCTGTTAGGGCCCAATTGGCTAACAGGCAGTTGAGAGAGTTGTGGCAGGGGCATGGCCTGCTTGCTGACTATATCACTGGATTCTGGGTGGTCTGCCAGGACCTGCAATGGAACGAAGCGGGGCTTATGGATCAGTTCCAGGAAGGTCTTTCATCGGAGCTCCTGGATGAGCTGGCATGTACTGACTGCCCTTGCACACTGCAGGAGCTCATGTACTTGTGCCTCTGCATCGATGCAAAGCTCCAGCAGCGATGATGAACCGATGCTAAGCCTGCACTGGTCAAGGCTGTGCTGCCATCAGTACCACCGCTTGACAAGCCAATGCAATTGGAGCTGCATGACCTCACCTGACCCAAGCCGAAAAGATCAGCGGTGCTGTGAAGGCCTTCGTCTATATTGTGGCGGCCAAGAGCATACAGCATCCAAGTGTCCTGCTAAGGCACCCAAAGAAGCGGCAGGAGCAATGGTGGGAAACGGGCATGGCATGGCCTTGAGGGCTCCTTAGTTTGGGCTCAAGGGGCAATGAGCCAACCATCTCCATCACAGGCAGCTTTTCTGAAACACCTTGTGCTAGCAGCGAGGGTATTCGTGCCAGGTCAGGGAGCGGTGGCGATTCAGGCCCTGGTGGACTTGGGGGGGGGGGGGGCACGGCCAACTTCATGGACTCGAGATTTGCTGCACCAGTGGTCCATCCCCCAGCAGAGGTGTTACCACCGGTCTTGGTAGAAATGATTGATGGTCAGCCCCTTCATTCAGGCCCTGTGGTTTGCCGTGACCAGACCCATGCACATTGGACCACATGTGGAAGAAGCCGTGTTCTATGTCGCCGCAGTGCCTCACTTCACAGTGGGGCTGGAGTGATTACGAGCTCATGATCCACAGATTGCTTGGTGGTCTGGGCCAGTGCAGTTCCCCAGCAAGAAGTATGCCACCCATCACCTGCAGGTCTGCTCAGGGGTGTGGTTACACATGTGGACCTGGATCTACCCGCGGAGATGGTAGATTATGCTGATGTGTTGGGGGGAAAGAAGGCGGATCAGTTGCCTTATGACTGCCCAATTGATTTGGTGCCCAATGCCAAATTGCCAGTGGGTCGGATTTACTCTCTGTCAGAACCTAAGTTGGCGGCATTACAGGACTTTATCAACAAGAATCTCCAGAAGGGGTTTATCAGGCCTTCTACCTCTCCCTCTATTGGCTGCGTTGGTGCTCTTTGTCAGGAAGAAGTTGGGAGAGCTGTATTTGCGCTGTGATTAGTGCAAGTTGAACGTGATCACAGTACAGAACTGGTACCTGCTTCTCCTTATCCCTGAACTGATCGAGTAGCTTTGTCAGGCCAAGATCTTCACAAAGCGGGATCTGAGGGGGCCTATAACTTGGTCCGAGTTTGTGCTGGCAATGAGTGGAAGACTGCCTTCTGGACATGTTATGGGTACTTTGAATATACTGTGATGCCATTCGGATTGATCAACACGCCTGGCGTGTTCATACATTTTATGTTTGACGTCTTCTGCGACTTCCTGGATCAGTTTTGGTCATCTACCTTGATGACATCCTGGTCTACTCGTCATCCCTACAGGAACACTGGAAACAAGTGAGGCTGATGTTACAACGCTTGCAGGACAATCACCTATTTGCAAAGCGACAGAAGTGCCAGTTCACACAAATGACAATCGACTCTCTAGGTCATTGTATCACGCTTCCTGAGGTGGAGATGGACCCAGAGAAAGTCAAGTTGTTGCAAGCGTGGCAACCTTCGTGGCCGGTCAAAGATGTGCAGCAACTCTTGGGGTTCTAGTAGTCCATATATATATATGGACTACTGGATATATACATATATTGTGTAGTAGTTTAGTAGTTTAGTGTGTGTGTGTTTGTGTGTGTATGTGGTTTAACAAAACAGCTTCCAAATTCTGTGTATTATTCCTCAGTAGTAGGTCCTTGAAAATATAATTAAGTTTTCAGGGCAATTTGTCTTGATTATTTTCTTATTCTCTTTTCTGACATAGTTTGGTTCTACTTCTATATTTAACTTGCTATTCAGAAATTCCTGAAGTAACTGATATTTTCCTTTTTTTGTTTTCTTCCTCCCTTGCTTTAGTTTGCTGGTGGAAGTGGTCCAGGAACAAGCCCTGGGAGAAGTGTGCCACCAGTAGCACGATCTTCACCACAACATTCCTTATCTAATCCCTTACCTGTAAGTACCTAACCGGATAAAGTACTATCTTGAGAGTTTTGTGAGCACATTTATAGACCTGTTAATACATACATGTGATAGAAACAGTGCAGATCTTCTAGGATTATATAGTAGAATCTTTGCCTTCTTTTCCTATCCTATATTACTTCTCAGCTTTCATTATCTCTCTAACCCAATTTTGAATAGGTTTTAATTAAGATCTACTTCAGATAACTGAGTCATATAGTACAAGCAGCCCTTTAAGTGTGAGTAAATGTTAAAGCTACAATCTAATACTGACAATTCCATGTTAGTTTGTCATAAATGGACTCATGATAAAGAGAATTAAGAGGAAGATAATTGTAAAGTTGATAGAATTATCCTTCTGCCTCTGCTATTATGAAATATATGTATTCTGCTTTCCTTAAAAAGATTAACCTTGGAAATATGACTAGCAGGAGTTTTCATAGTTTTTTCAAATAAATAAATTGAAGAATAGTCATCATCACGTTTTAGGCAAAATGTTTCAATGTGCAGGAATGTAGTACACGGGTATATTTGCAAAAATACTCTATCCTGGATATGCATAGTCATAGTTAACAGCTCAGTTCTGAAGTTTCATATTGCAGCAACCCTTGTGCTTATTGTCAGTTTTTTTGTAATGATTTCCTATATTTGCCTGTCAAGCAGAAGGTGCCATTGGCAGATTTTTCTCAATATTCTATTTAAACACATGTTTTTTTTCTCAGACTCCAGGATGTGGCCCTTTACTAAGCCTACTACCATAAGAAAAAAAAATGAAGTGATGGTATTTGAGGATGCTTCTGTAAACATTTTTATCTAAATCCATTGTCATATTATCTTTTGTCAAGTCCTGAGAGAAAGCTTTTGAGTCCAGTAAATATTCGTAAGGATAGAGAGGCAGTGGAGCCTAAGAGTTTGCTCTGTGTGTGAGTGTATGTGAATGCACATGACTGCCTACTGTCTTTGTCTTTTATTTCTATAAGGAAGCCAAAAGTATAAGGGTATTTTAAAAATCAATATGTTCTTATGGAGAGAAAATGGCCAACTCAAAGCTTCTGAAGAAAAGGTTCCATATAAATGTAACAAATACATTCCAGACGGAATATTTTAATGCAATATAAGAATACAGTGCATTAGAGTCAATAGGAATAGTTAACCTTTTAGTATCTGGAAGGTGCGGGGCATCACTTTATTTTTTTAAATTTTTATAGCCTCCATGGCTATAAGAACAGGTGGTAATTGATATGATGAGAAAGAGCAAAGACTCCTCTCCAGTGTCCAGTAATTTGGGTGTTTTGATTCAAGTTTATGGTGCCTTCTGTGGATTTAATGCACTTATTTTCTTACCTTATTTTGTTTTAATATTAAAAAATCACACAAGTAGCAATAGACTATTTGCAATCAGGCTTTATTAATTCTTGGGGATTTTTGGGGCTTCAGAAATGAATGTATTCAAAGGGTATCACATGAACCTTCTCAAACATGAAACACTAAAATTTATATTCTATTTAAAAAAAACCTCTGATTTCATTACGTTTTGTTAAGAAAAATGTGGAGAGTACTCTAAAAGCACCAGGGTTGCTTTCTTTAGATGTTTACGAGCTTTGTGTCCAAGCTGCTGCATGATTCAGTTTTATAACTGTTTCCACATAACCTTTTTTTCTGATAATTTTCTTTAATGTACAGCGGCGAATGGAGCAACCACTTTACGGAGTAGACAGCAGTGCAGCCAAGGAAGTGCCAGAGGAGCCTTCTGCTGCCCCAACTCTGGTATCAACAATGATGGCAAAACAACGGCTAGAGGGCGAGCAGCTGGCACAGAGGGGTACAAGCCTCTGTTTTCCATTTGCTTCGGTGAGCAAGGCTCAATGATCAAACTCAAGAGGCAGATTGGACAACTCACTACAACCTACTCACTGCAGGATGACTCACTGTAGAGAAATTTAAGAATTCTATTATTTAAAACAAATAAATTATTTTAATGTTTGCCATTCATATTTCATTCTGTCCCTTCTATTCCACCGTTTCTTTGATATTAATGTAACTTTTATCCTGCAGTGAATTGCATCAAGTTGGCCACAGCAAGTTGGCTGTGGTGAGGTGGTCATGGTGAGTTGTCATAGAACCCACAAGGGGGACTAAATGGATCTTGTGTGGTTAGACAGTATGTAGTCGCCACTGCTGCAATAGAATCTATTTTCTTTCTCTTTCTTAAAATTCTGGTTCTTGATTGCTGCTAATAACAGTTATTATAACAGTACAATAACAAAAATATCTTAACATAGAATTACTTTGGAATTATTCTTTATTTAGGTACTTTTTGACAAAGATATATTTCTTCTACATTGTTCATCTCTCATCTCCTGCATATTCCTGCATTTGCATGGTTTCCATGCTTGATGAAATATTATTTCAAAGGTTCAAAAGCTAAATTTCCATATTTAAAAAATATTCCTATTTTGTAGAAATTTAAATGTTGGAAGTAATGATAAGCTACAGTGTAATTCATTATTATAAACAAGTTGTTTGGAAGATGAATCAAAATTGTTTTTATAAAACTATAAAATGTTAATTTGGAGCTATTCAATTTAATTTAGAAGCCAACCATTTCTTATCTCAAAAATTTATTTCTCATCAGTTATCCAGTTATTTCTTTTCTGCAATGCTTTTTAAAATTCTATTTTGATATATAGGTATATATATCTTCATCTGCAAGAACAAATATAATTTTAGAGGTTATTATTCAACTCATTGACACAGAAGCCGGCACTTTGTCAGACTAAAAAATAAAATAATAATAATAAATCTAAAAACTTATTTGAACTGTTTCAGTGAAAACAGAAATTAATGCAGTTTGTTATTTGTGTGAGCAGAAAAACATGAGCTTTGATTAAGACAAGAATTATAATCCAGGAAGAATTTATACAGTCTTTATACAGAAGTTTAAAAAACATTCCTGATCTCTCTCTCTCATCAGAATATCTCTGGGTGCAGAACTGGGGGGGAAAAACCTGGGTATGCAACCTGCTGCCTCTTAAGGTTGACCACATATAGCTAGTTAGCTGTTTTTCTTTCAAATAAAAGTGGGGAAGAGCATGTTTCGCAAAATACTGTATCTACAACTTACTTGCTGCTTCTCTTGTTACAGACCCAGCAAGGCAGCCCCTCATCTGCGGTTTCAGGAAACACAGAGCATTCCTGCAGCTCTCAAAAACAGATTTCCGTCCAGTACAAACAGACTCAGGTACAAGGCAAATGAATTACATAGTTATATCTGATTAAAATCAAATACATGTTCATTTGAGAAATAAATGGAAATATATTTTTGTTTCCCTTTAGATCACATAAATCTTTCACCTTTTACTAAAAAAAAATGGAAATTTATGATGCAAGGACATAATGCGTTCACAAGAAACTTCAAATTTACTCATTTATGATCATTCCATCTAAAAACATTACAGCTTTAGAGGCTGCCTTGAAGTAAAATAGTCTCTATTGGACAACAAATTCCAGAATAATTTTACTGTTTTTCCTGCCTCAACCTTCCAACTTCTATCTTGTTCTTTAACCAGTTGCTTCTCCCTTTGAACAATTAACATAATCTTTTGTTTGCTTTATCAATGAAAATTATGCTCTAGTTTTTATCCACTTTGTAAAATGGATATTAGGTTAATATTTTGGCTAAAGATTTACTCACTTTTTAGTTTACGTGGTATATACCTTGTTTTCCTGAAAATAAGACCTCCCCGGATAATAAGCCCAATCGGACTTTTAAGCATGAGCTAAAATAAGCCCTCTCCTGAAAATAAGCCTTCCCTGAAAATATTGCAACACAGCAGCAGCCATGAGGTGGCCACGCTTACCGCCTCCTGCACCTCAAAAATAATAAGACCTCCCTGAAAATAAAGCCAAGCACTTATTTCCAGGGGTCACTGTATTTTTTAACTTAGGTTTCTCAGTTTTTTAAAGGATTCATTTACCTGGATTAGACAATGTTGGAACATTTTTCTTTTAAAATTTATGCCACCTTGGAAGTTTCTTGCTTTCATTTTTTTTGTTGATTGCTTTACAATTATAATTTTATATACCAATTTTTTGAAGCCCCATTATAGCCTTATATAGCTGAGGATATGCAAGGAACATTTTGCAGTCAGAGGACAATGACTTTTAGGCAACCTATTTTGCCATTTTCAGAATATTTAAAAATCACCTGCTTCATAAGTGAAAGCCTGGGTCCTATATATTTTTTAGTTTTTTGCCTTTTCACAAGAACATGTATCAAACGTCGTTACTCTGCTTTGTTTCTTTAGATCTTTTATTTGTTTATTATATATGTTATGCTATGCTATTTTTGTTTAAAATATCTATTCATTCTTCCTCTCCTTTTTCCTCTGTCTGAGACATTTAGCTATTGGAAGCATTCATATCTCAAATGTATAAATTTTACCCCTCTGTCACTATTTTAGTGAACACTAATGTTACTTTTATGGAACATAGTAGTTGTGAGTTTACCTCAGCCACTTCTTTAGAAAAGGAAAAAAAACTTTATATGCTGGTACTTATTGCCATGTATGCAAAAATAAAGATTCAAATCCCAATTCAGCTACACTTGGGTTAGCTACATTGAAGAAAATTATCACAGTAATCATGTACTGTAACCTACCAGTGGATATGCTGTGCATACTGCTATCTGTAGGGCTTCCAATATGGATCGCAGTAATCAAGTCTCAAAATTTTATCAGCTTGCCAAGTTTTCAAGGGCTACCGTTTTATTTGTAAATTTCCCAAAACCATGTACTTATGATGGGGCAGTATAGAAATTTTATAAATAAAATATTATGAACCTATAGTAGGTTTTGGCTAAATGAGGAAGTAATCGGGGAATCTTAGTCTTCAGGATGTTGATACTTTTATTGCAGCATTTTCTTATGCAATATGAGCCTTTTCTAATACAAATATAAAGCGCTTTTATGTAAAATGCACAGGGAAACTGAAGACCATGTTCACAGGCAAATTGTAGACACTGTCATAATTTCATTAGTTTTAAAGTTTCTATAGCACCCCTCTTTTATGGATTGGATCATCTGTGAGATGATTTAATTCCATTTATTTCACAAATGTTTATAGGTTTGTGGAACTCAAGAAAATTGTGGCCTGGTTATATGTTTATTTCCTTGGTTTATTTGTCAATCTTGAAATAGATTGTTTTCCCAGTCTTGTTCATTCAGTAATTGGAGCAGAGCTGCATAGAAAATCATTTCTTAAGAACTTTTTTTTTCCCCTCCCAAGTCTGATCTTACAATGGAGAAATTATCTGCATTAGAAAACAGTAAGAACTCTGATCTGGAGAAAAAAGAAGGCAGAATAGATGATTTATTAAGGGTAAGTAGTTGTAATTCTACATCCTATATTCAAATTTCAAGCCATAGAATCTATATAATATAAATATAGGTAAGAGGTTAAGAGTATCTCTTAATAGTTATGTAAATGGAAATAGGCTGTCATGGAGAAAATCTAGACAATTGCTAATGGTTGACATTTAATCAGTTACATGCAAAGTCCTTGGTAAGAAGGAAATTGTATTCTCTCTTGATAAATATGTATCTCTAAATTCATTCAAGAGCTTTACAATTTTAATACTCAAACAATCTCCCTCCTTTATACACTTCCTCTACAAACTACTTTTTAATTTGAAAGTGCTATGAAAATATCTAGAAGGATAGTCAAGGTAATTTGCTGCATCAAAAATTACTAAAATAGCTTGTGAGACTTAATAAAAAATAAAATAAAATAAATCATTAAATGGATTGTGTTCTGATAACTTTTGTAATAATTAGTTTTAACATGCAAAGCATTTTCCTTAAACACAATCAAATCTTAATATATAAGTTACTTACAATTGAACAATTAATTTTGATGAAACAGTAATTCTAGATGTTTCAAATAATTGAGCAATTTGAGATTTCGTTATTGTCTTCTGTATATTCCTGAATACCATATAGAGCATTTTAATTTCAGTTTAGTAGTTTCAGATGGAACTGGTAGGAAAAGTCAGTTTTTCAACTGCCTTTCTTTGTGAGAAAATTCTCACATCTATCAAGTCCACTAACAAAGTGATTGGAATCGTTTGAAGCTCTTACAGAATTCAGATCTGGTTTTTTTTTTTCTTTGCAAATAATTTCTTTCCTAATGTTCATCTTTTCCATATTTTTCTCCCTCACCCCAATATGCACGTGTTCCCTACTGGAGAAACTTAAGAATAGTCTGTTTACTCAGTTTTGAATTGTCAGTTTAGGACAATTCTCAAGAATTTCTTAAGGGGAACACATTTTCTCTTTTAAACTATTGTTCTCCTCCAGTTTTTGAGAGAAATTTGTATTTCAGCAAGGAATATTCTATATAGCTAACTCCAGCCTTAAGAGTAAAAATAAACATAATGCTAGTGGTAGCCTGCAAGATGATTTCTCAATCCTTCTACATTATAGAATAGGAGGGAATTGGATTATATAGCATGCAAAAATTATCTATTTGAAATATTTGTTAGCTTAGAAAGATAGGCAGAATCGTCCATTTCTGAAGGGAGCTAATAGAGCTTTCTGAAGAAGAATTGGAATTCTCTCCTATTAATCATCTTTTCCTAACATTTTTCTCATACAGTATTGGGTTCTGGCTGCTAGTCCTGCTGGTTCACTCAGGGACATGCTGTGGGCACATGCACACTTCACACGCTCGCATGTGCAGTACTGTAAAAAATGCTTCTGTACATGTTCAGAAGCAAAAAACGATGCCATTGCCTATGGCACTGCCGATAGAACTGGTTCGGGGCATTGCCAGCCAAGTTACTACCTACACATCCGAATCAGTCTGAACCGGTAGCCATTAAGTAACTTTTTGCCATTGTGTAAGTTTTACATTTGCATTTACATTTTACCCATTTGCCATGGGTAAAATTTATGCAACAAAAGCAACTGTACCAAGGACAAGACAGATATAAATAAACAATATTGAATAAATTTATATATTGTACCTATGAAAAAATTCAGGTCATTAAAGTCATTCTGAAGTCCAGCAGATCAGAGCCATGTTTACCCTTGGTGCATGATCGTATTTCATAGGGCAGACAATGGCATCAGAATGGAAATGCTCAAATCATTCTGATTCAAAATAATTAAAGCAATTCATGAAAACTCTCAGATCTGTAGTAGCATCATCCTTTAAAAATATTTTCTAGTTTGGCTTGATTATCAAAGGCATGTGTTTACATTCTGGTACAATAAGGACCCCTTTGGAACACTATAAAAACACTAATCAAATCAGACATACATTGGAATGGAGGAAACATTTCTACATGTTTAGACATCATTGCCCTCAGGCAGCATCAGAACATAAATGCCCTTCTTTCATATATCCTTTGCCTACTTGAAAAATCATGGACGTAATTGCAGAACTGTAGGGACCTCTCTAGTTTCTTCATACATCTGTAGTATTTGGGAGTTGTCAATAGACCCAGTTTAGTTCTACATATTATGATCAGAAAAGGGAACAGAAGTCATTAAAAGGAGTCAGAAGATCTAAGACTTTTTTTCTTTTGAGCATAATAGTGTCTTAACAGCCATATAGTGTTGGCTCATGAAGCATCCTTCGTAGTGATAATTTAGCAGAGAAAAGGAATTGGATTGCATTGGTGTAGCAGGATATCTGCTTAAGAATTAAAAATAGCAAATAAGCCTTTGTAACATTTCTACAAACGATATACCAGTTTGGATAGACTGTGTTAAACCTTTTTGGAACCAGGAGATATACATCAAAATATTAACATACATGTCATGGTTCAAATATAGCTAACTGAGCTATACTCTACTTTGACTTTTTGGACAACAAAGCACAGATTATCTTTATAGCAACCTGTTGGCTTAAATAGCCTTGATTTATCAATATACAGGAGTTGGAAAGAAAAAAAAACCCAGTAAATTTGGGAAAGGATCTTCTGTCTCAAGATCTAATCATTTATCCAGTATCTCAGTTCTTATCAAGTGAGACAATATTAGTTGCACAAAATATTATTTTAGGCAGTACTTATTTTCTTCTCTTCTAGGTTTGAGGTAATTCTTATGTAGGATAGTCTTAATGCCTTTTCCTAGACACAATTTCCCCACATTAAATTTCAGCCGGATCTTTATGGTTCTAATGTAGGGCTGACAAACTCGTGGCCTGCACCCACGCCCGGTTTAGCGAAGGAGAAAAACATCCCAATACATCAGATGATGCCGTGACGACACGAGTTTGACACCCCTGTTCTAGTGGGTTCTGTCATTGAGTTTGTGGTTAACTGTTCGATCAAGTTACTGATACTTCACTGGTTATTACATTGACCAGAAGAGTTTTAAAAGTTGAGGCCTAGCCTCAATACATATCTTGTGTCTTTTTTTCTTATGAACAAAGAGTTCTCCCTATTTATCAAGGTCCATCCTACTTCTAATGGTTCACACAATTTATATATAATATGCTTGAGTTCTTATCTGGATAGAATAGTGAACCTCAGGAAATGTGAATCATTGTAATCTTTCAAGAAAAGTTAGTGGACATTAAAATTTTGTATCTCCTGTTAATGGACGGTTATCAATTGTGCTTAAATGTGGCCTATCGTCTACCAAAAGTAGTATTTATTCTCCTAGAGGAATACTGTCTTTTGAGATAATTTTCCTATCAAAAATGATGTGTGAAATCAACAGTAACTTCAGTAGTTTATACTTTCTTCAAACTATATAAAATTGATAAATTGAGTTCAACAGCAACACTTGGCTACTTCCTACAAAGTACAATAAAACAGGAATATTGATCCCTTGTAGGCATCTCTTTTGGCCCTCTTTTCTAATTAAGTCTTAAGATATAAAATGATGTCTATGATGCTGAAGAAAATGTGAAAATTTGGATTTATATACGTTATAAAACATCTGTATCTCTGTCCAGTTGATGAAATAGTTCATGATAGGGCAATAGCATTTTTGAATTAAGGTATCTTCTTTGACTACCAGAAATCAGGTAGACTGGTTCCCATCCTAGCCCTCTGGAGGCTGGATAGCATTCTCATGCATACTAGTCCTGTCATTGGCTGTCAGAAGGTGATCAGCTGCAGTCAATTTGACAGGAAGTTGAAGTCGTTCCCACTGCTTTTTTACCCTTGCTTATTCTGTTCTCTGTTAGAGGTAAGGAAATAACTCTGAAATGATCCAGCAGATTATAGGTTGTCTAAAACATCTAAATTTATTCTCTGAACCTCACAAAACCCATCTATTCTAGAATCAACTTTTAAAATTGGGAGGGGTGTTATATATTTATTTTTGCAATTTTAATGTTTCAGTCTTAAAAGAATCGAGCAGTTAGTGCTATTGCTAATGGAAGAGAATAGCAAATAAAGCATTCTTAGCTGACCTGGGAATTGATTTTGTTTTTATTGTTTCTCCGGTGTTACTAATAATGGTTTCTAAGTAAGTATTCTGATTTCTAAAAGAAATAATAATGCTGGGTTGAGAAACTACATTGATTCCCCAGTTCAGGAGGATGAATGCTTCCTCCATCTGGAGAGACAGTGACAAAATGGACTTGCTGTAGGAGATATGAATCCCCCTCCTTGAGATTCAAAGTATTGAAGTAAATCGTAAATCCAAATTTATTGTGTGCAGAGGAATCCTTTTTGTTGTATTTGATAACGGAGAGTTTTAATTTTTTTCTCATCCGTACAATATAATGAATTGTAACTAATATAGGGTAATTTTTGTTTTGTTCACTTGCTTAATATTTTATTTTCAGGCAAACTGTGACTTAAGACGACAGATAGATGAACATCAGAAAATGCTTGAGAAATACAAAGAACGGTTAAATAGGTGTGTAACAATGAGCAAGAAGCTACTTGTAGAAAAGGTGAGTTACAACCAGCACAACTTGTTTTGAAGTTATATCCCCATAACCTGCACAATTAGGTAACTTATTTGTTTCAGATAATAACAGTAGTAGTAGTAGTAGTAGTAGTAGTAGTAGTAGTAGTAGTAGTAGTAGTAGTAGTAGTAGTAATATACCACATAGTTGGATCATCAAATGTTTGGAGGCAACTAGTATTAATTAAAAAACCATTAGAATGTTGAAAAAATAATGAAGCAGTAGAAATAGAATTGGTGGTAAATATTTAATGATTAAATAGGTGTGTAACAATGAGCACTGTGATTGTTGTAAATGTGCACTAATTGTTGATTGGCTAAATCACGATCACATGACTTATGAATGCTGCAATGACGGCAGCTTCAAGGACAAGTCATAGGTCTCCTTCTTCATTACCTCCATTATTTTAACAACTGATTGGTAAGCAAGGAGTACCTGTATGTCTTTTTCATAGAAATCTAAAACTGCCAGACCTTTGGGAATCAACTTTGTTTTGTTCATGTTGATATCGTTTTTTATTGAGTAACATTACAGTGTTGTAAATTTCCCAAACTTGCATTTTTAAGATGGATGACTTACAAAGTATTTAAATAAATAAATAGGGATACTTTGCAAAGCATATAGATACTTTACTTTTTCCTTTACAGTCAAAACAGGAAAAGATGGCTTGTAGAGATAAGAGTATGCAAGATCGGTTGCGTTTAGGTCACTTTGCTACAGTCCGGCATGGAGCCTCTTACACAGAACAATGGACAGATGGCTATGCTTTCCAAAATTTAATCAAGTATGTATTTTTCTATTGTTCTGCTTTCTCCAAAAGCAGAAAAGATTAGTGGTGATTACTTGGGTTTTTTTTTAATATTAATCCATACATAACTTACAATATTTATGACTACTGTTCTCATAAATAAAAGTTTGCATGAAATCTGGAAAGGAGAGGTACCATTTACTGAAACTCTCCATAATATTATTAAACAGTAAAGGCAACAACAATCTTACAAATATTACAGGTAGTCTTCAACATATGACCACAATTTAGCCCAAAATTTATGTTGTTAAGTGAGAAATTTGTTCAGTGAGTTTTGCATCATTTTATGACTTTTCTTGCCATATTAGTTAAGTGAATCATTGCATTTGTTAAATTAATAACAGAGTTATTAAGTGAATTTGACTTCCACATTGACTTTGGAGAAGATTTTAAAAGGTCACTAAATGAATTGTTTTATACAAGAATGCTTCTGCTGCTAGTAAGTAATGATATATAATTAAGAAAATGGTAGTGCCAGGAAAAGAACAACTAGAGCTAACAGTTCAAGAATTGAACATGCCTGCATCATACCTTTTTACCAGTGCCTTAACTTCAACAATGTGGATATTTATTTGACCAACGCTGAAGACTCAGAATGAAGCCTTTTTTGAGAACGGCAGGAAAATGGGGAGGGGGATTTTCCTGCCATTCATCAAAAAGGTTCCGTTCTGAGCCTTCAGTGTTGCAATCCTGGGACATGTGTCCTTTTCTCAAGCAACATTTAATCACTTGAAAGGGACAGGCTGCATGCAGAGAGAAGGAACTAGAGGCAGCTCCTGGTCCTCACTGGTTCAGCTGATCCATGGGCCTTGATTAAGGGGCCAAGCAGACATGAGATGTCCAGGGAAGTGAAGACCTGCCTCCTGTGCTGGCCACACCCATCCCCTTCACTAGGGCATATTTTTGGGGTAGGGTGTATTAGGGCCATCCCAAAAAATCATTCTAGGGCTAATTTTTGGGATAGGTCGTATTTTCAGGCAAACACGGAGGCAAGTGTATTTAGAAGTCTTATTCATATCAATGTCATAAATTTCATCACTGTTTGCTATATGCCTTTGAATGCTATCACTTTTTGAAATAATAGGTAATATGTAGATTAAAGTTTAATTACATCTATTAGCAGGATAATTAATGATTATAACTTATATTATCTGAAATACGAAAAAAATAATTTTAAAACTTTAATTCTGTAGCTGCAAAATTCAGGCCTTATTTTGTAAATAAAGGTGCATTTGTATGCAGAGATTGCTTTGTTGTTAGGCAGACTAGGAACATTTTCTTCTCAAACATTGGGTAAATGTGGGAAAATGGACATTAGGTCCTTGGGCATATAGGACTAAATCCAGATTTATTTAAGAGTTGGGTGCAAGAATATAGGCATCTCTGACCAAATTGTAAGACTAGAAACTGATGAATATCTGCATGATAAATATAAATCCTTCTACAAATTTGCGTGTGCACATACTTAGCTGTGCATAGTTATGTACAGATTTTTAATATAAAAACAAAGCAGCTGCAAAAAATTAGACACCTTTCCAGTTCTGTATTTTTTGGTCTGTCAGATATCCCCCCCCCCCCCAAGTAGGTGGAAATGTGTGTTTATCTAATAGAGCAGATGTTGCTGAAGCCCCGCTTAACCACTGGCCCCCACTCTTCAGTCTCTGCCTCCAGCCATTTGTCCTTGCAGCAAACAGCAAAGTCAGCTTCAACACAGCCTGATTTAGCATGAGCAGCTAATTGGTAGTTGGATCTGCCTCCCCGAAATATCACTGCTCAGCTGTTCCAGACTGTGGGTATCACCACCACCCATCACTGCCTCTGCGCACCCCATTTTCGGCCTCCAGGTGTCCCATTTTTGGCCCATTCCAGGCAATGTGGATTGCTGCCTATTGCTGCCAAGCAGTGGTGGCGACAATAGGCAGCTGCGGTGATCCCCACTGCCTGGAACAAGCTGAAAATGGGACGTGCAGAGCCTGAAAATGGGGTGCGCAGAGGCAGTGATGGGTGGTGGCAATCCCCACAGCCTGGAACAGCTGAGCAGTGGTATTCTGAGAGGCAGATCCAATTGCCAATTAGCTGCTCATGCTAAATCAGGCTGTGCTGGAGCTGACTTTGCTGTTTGCTGCAAGGAGGCAAATTGCTGGGGGGCAGAGGCAGATTTTTTCTTCTTCTCTTCCTCCCCAAAAGCTAGGGGCATTTTATGATCCGGAGCATCTTATAGTGCAAAAAATATGGTACTTTGTAACACCACCTTTAGTAAAAAATAATAGCTTCCAAATATTTCTTATATCCAGGTAACAATTTTTCTGGACTTAATTTTGCATTTTTTCCTACTATCCTTTGCAGAAGTCCTCTAATTCAACAATATGGTAAACAAAGGCTTTGTTAGGCTGGTGGGACTGTTTTGTTTTCCTACACCTCAAATACCTTATCTCAAAAGTGAAAAGAAACAACTAGGCTTCTTAATAATCATGGGTAAAATCACTGGTTTATTATGTGGTGTGCAAGACAAAAAAGAAATAGAAAGGCACATATACCTGTCTGAGGTTGAACTCAGACTCAGAATAAGGCTAAAAATATTTTTTTCCACAAAAGAAATTAAGGCAGTTGTTGTGCCTCCTAAAGATTAACCTCTTCATTTGAAAACTGTCTGCCACTATAAACACTTTTTATATTTAAAACCAAAGCCCTTATAATTATTTCTTAAAAACTGGATTTACCATTCAATCTCTTGCTTGATAATAGCCAGCTACATTTTCAAAGCCCAAGCTTTAAAATATTTAGTCTTCTAAGAAATGACAGATTACCAGAAATGTACGGTTCAGGTATGCCTACCAAAGGATGTAGGAGACCAATCATATATTGGCATATATTATTTTATGTTCTCTAATAATGCCCATGTTCTACTTTTATTTAGGCAGCAAGAAAGGATAAATTCCCAAAGGGAAGAAATAGAAAGGCAACGGAAAATGTTAGCAAAACGAAAACCACCTGCCATGGGCCAGGCTCCTCCATCTACTACTGAGCAAAAGCAACGCAAGAACAAAACCAATGGAGCAGAAAATGAGACGTAGGTGGCATAAACATTTCAGAATCCTTTCTGGTGCTGTCAAATGGAAGGACCTTCCTGGGTTTTACCCAAGTAGGCCTTCTTAGTTTCTGTGTTTGTGATTGTGTTCTCAACAATTAGATTGGTTTTTGTAGACTAAGGTCCATATTTGACATTTGAGTGGAAGGCCAGACCTACTTTCCAAAAACTAATCGGAAGAAAAAGTGAATGGACTCTCTCAAGCTAATTAATTGAATTGATGGGGCTAATTTATTATTCCTTGTGAATATAATGATTTGTCCCCTAACAATCAAAAATAGACTTTGTTGCTAAGTTTTAGTGGAGTCCTAAGGTAGCTTATGGCATCTAGATATATTCATCTGAAAAGATCACCTTTCTTGGTAGAAGGCATTTCTAATTTTTGAACCACTTATTTATACATGTACAGGTTAACATTAGCGGAATATCATGAACAAGAGGAAATATTTAAACTCCGACTAGGTCACCTTAAAAAGGTAAAAAGATATGTTATAACTTCAAGTATGAATTGAATTATGCTTTTGATTTCCTACTTGTTCTAGTTCTTGGTTATTTGTTTCTTTATTGATTTATGTTTGCTTATTCTCTGAGAGTGTAGATCAGTGGTGAAATCTAAAAATTCTCCCTACTGGTTCTGTGGGCGTGTTTTGGTGGGCGTGTGACTGGGTGGGCATGGCCAACTTGACATCACTCACTGTTAGATCCAGGAGCTGCACATTCTGAAGCACATTCTGCCTTTCTGACGCCCCCAACACTTTGAGTTTCACTCCCCATCTGGCATGACTGCCCAAGAGAACCTCGGAGCCTTCTCTTGCCCCGCTCTCCATCCTGGAGGGCCGCACATCCCACCCACCCCGCCAATCCTCCATACAAACCACCCGCCCCATTTTTGCAAAGGCACCAAGATCTCTTCTGTTACAGGGAAATGCTATCTACAGGAAGGATTCAACTTCTTATCCCCTCAAGATTTGCCAAATACTGTAATCAAGCTTTGTCTGGCTTCCAAAATGACCAAGTAGAATGTCATAGAGCATAGAGCGGAGATAGAGAATGTCATAGAGCATAGAGTGGAGAAGGCAGGCAAGCATCTCGGGGCCAGTCGGCCGTGGGGAAGGGAACTCCCCGCAGCCCTGCCATGCTTTCCTGCCTTCCACATGGCCTTCCTGGTGCTACCTCATACCCACTTGCCTTTCAAAGTTGGCATCCAGGCTGGCCCGGCCAGTAGGTGGGCAGACGGCCCTTGATAGAAACACAGCCACTGCTCTGGGGCTGAGAGGAGTCGTGGCAGTTGCACTCTGGGAGGGCAAGTGGACATCCTGTGCTGCTGCAAATGCACCTACCCCGTGCAGGGTGACCCAAAGAAGGGAGGATATGCTGCAGAAAAGACCGCCTTCCACCCAGGTCAGCGTGCCTCCCATGCCGGCTCCGCAGGGCTTGGGGCTCCAAAGCAGCCCACTGGCTTCCCACCTGGCCCCCTGCCTGCTCTCCAGTGCCTGGAGTCCGGCACTCTGGGGGAAGGCGACTTGGCTGCGGCACAGCTTCCCACCGGTAAAGAAGTGGAGCAATGCATGGAAGCTATTTGTGGGCGGCAGCCTCCTGCGTGTTGAGAGGGCCAGGCCTGGCTGTGCCACACAGTGGAGCCTGTGGCACTTTCCCTTCAGCGTGAGCGGTGGCGTTTCATCTTGATGAACATCATGTTGCTGCACTTGTAGTCACGCAACTGGCTGCAGTGGGACATGGCACAGGAAGAGAGGCTAATGCAGAAGGAAGGAAGTGAATAGCAGTTCCGTGGAAGTGCTCTAGGAGGGCAGGTGAATGTCTGCAGCCAGGCAGGGAGGGAGGGCAGGGAGAGTGGTGGCAGAAGCCCCTTCCAAGCACTGCCTATGGAAGTGGCTGGCAAGGTGGGCAAGGTGGCCCTGGTGCACCTGTTGCTGGAATGGTGCAGCAATCGCTCGGCCAGGGCCACCTTGGTGGAGGTTGCATCAGCCTCTCCACCCACGACATGTCCCACTTTGCCCAGCCACCCGACTATAAGTATGGTGACATGGTGTTCATCAAGATGAAGTGCCACCTCCCCAGCCAAAGAGAAAGAGCAATGGGTTCTGCTGTGGTGCAGCCGGGCCTGGCCCTTTCCCACCTGCCCATCATCGGTTTCTGGGTGTCTCTCACTCCACTTCTTCACCGGAGGGAAGTGGGAGGCGTGACCAAGTGTCCTTCCCCCAGAGCACTGGACTCCAAGTTCCCGGAGTGGTGCCAGCGGTTGGCCGGGCTGATCTGCAAAGAGAGCAGACAGGTGCCCCGGTGGGAAGCCAGTAGGTTGCTTCAGAGCCCCAAGCCCATAGAGCCGGCACGGGAAGCACACTGGCCCTGGTGGAAGATGGCCTTTTCTGCAGCATCCCCCACCCATCTTTAGATCATCCTGCAAGGGGGGCTCTGCCTTTGCAGAAACGACTCCCCACCCTGTTAGGAGGGATGGGCTGAAGATTTTCTTAACTATGCTCCACTTGCCTGCCTTCACAAGCTGGCCATCTGGCCACCGGGAAGGCTGTGTGGAAGGCAGATAAGCATGGCAGGGCCACAGGGAAGGGGGTAGAGGAGGCAGGCTGGGATCGTGGAAAGCCAGGGACTGGGCGGGATGAGCGAGTGGCAAACCAGTTCGGGGACGGGGACAACCAGCAGTCCCTACTGGTTTGGCGACCCAGGCCCAATGTCCACAACCGGTTCTCCCTAACCAGTCTGAACCGGTAGGATTTCACCCCTAGTGTCCTCCTGTGAAATTCTCTGTCTCAAACTTTAAAGGCTTCTCTGACAATTTTATATTGTAATTACAGTGCTGCTTGTGTTCTGTTCACAAAAGACTGCGCTCCTAAGTAATTCTTTGTTGTAGTAAAGTATCTGGATTTTTAAATAGATGGTAAATATAGGTAAATAAATTATGCAGACAAAATAGACCTCTCACAATATTAGTATATCACTCATTAAAACTAAATAAAGGAAATTTTAACACAAGTTAAAGCAGTGTTTTTCAACCACTGTGCCGCGGCACACTAGTGTGCCGTGACATAGTGTAAGGTGTGCCGTGGGAAAATTACTTTATATATAGTCAATATAGGCACAGAGTTAAAATTTTTTAACATTTTCTAATGGTGGTGTGCCTCGTGATTTTTTTCATGAAAAAAGTGTGCCTTTGCACAAAAAAGGTTGAAAAACACTGAGTTAAAGTACTTTTTTACAAAAATGGATTATTCAAATAAGTTTGATCAATCTCCATTCAAAACTAAGAGTAGAATGAGCTATCAGTTATTACTAATCTTGATGGCTGTGTATTATCTTTGGAAATAGTCAACATATCTTAGAAAACTAATAAAGAGTTCTTGAATTTTTAAGCCTACGCTTTTATAATTATCTTGTAAAAATATGTTTTGTGGTAAATTCATCTAAGAAAAATTAGAGTAAAATCTACAAAAGAAAATGGAAAAAGAAGAAAGAGAACAAATGCACTCCCCCATTTATAATATCAGAAGAAAAAACATATTATCAGAAATGCTTCACGTTCTTTTGCAAGTTTACTCAAGGAGTTAGAAAATAATAACATGTTATCCCTTGCAACATTGCAGCAAATGATAAAGAAGTGAGTGAGTATTAGCGAAAGGATATCTCCAAATTTTGGTAAGGACACAAAAGAGTTGCAAGTGAAAATATAGAGATGTCATCTTTCCCTGTGATTGGGGAATACTATGTAAAGGAAAGCCATTCTACATAAATCCTTATCAGGCAAATTTGGTTTAAAATCCTCAGTACAGCAGTTTATAGTACAATAAAGTGATCTTTCTCTTTGTGCAGGAAGAAGCTGAGATTCAAGCAGAATTAGAGCGATTAGAACGGGTTAGAAATCTGCATATTAGAGAATTGAAAAGGATACATAATGAAGATAATTCACAGTGAGTATTGGCCATAAGAGATAAGCAAATTACAACCTTATGGAAGATGACTCGTTGTTAAAATACAATAGAAATGTTTGCTTGTAATTAACTTTGTTTAGAATTAATATTTATTAAGTGAGTATAATCTGACTCCTAGCTACTTTGCGTAGTATATTCTTCCAGATGACAATGTAAACAAGTAAACATAAAGATAAAAGAAAACAGGCCAAAATGTGTCTGTGGTTGGCAGTGCAAGACTCAAAGTTTGGCTGTATTTCTCCAAGCTTTCTACACATTATAGGCAGAGAGTTCCATTTGTCAAATCATTTATCTTTTGGATGATTTGCTTAAGATTGTTCTAACCATTATATGGATAAAATCTCCTGTTCTCTCCCCATTAGGTTTAAAGACCACCCAACACTAAATGATAGGTATTTGTTGTTACATCTCCTAGGCAGAGGAGGATTTAGTGAAGTATATAAGGTAAATTAAATTGCCTTTTTATTTTGTTTGATTAAATATTGTAAAGTGTTTTTTTAATTTCTGTCTTTGTGTTCTAAGGAGTATGTCAATCTAAGATTCTTATTTGGTCTGAGAAGTCAGTAGATTCAAATTAATCAAAGTTACTGTGTATGCTCAATACAATTAAGTGAATTTTCTTGGTTTTATTTTAGCATTGTCATTTCATACTCACCAAATTTGACACTATGTTAAAAGATTTTTTTAGCATGTCATTTAGACTAGTGTAGCAGACCTTGGAGGTTGGAGGTTTTCTATCCAACCCCCATGCTCAAGCAGGAAATCCTATACTATTTCAAACAAATAGTTGTCTAGTCTCTTCTTAAAATCCTCCAGTGTTGGAGCACCCATAACTTCTGGAGACAAGTTGTTCTACTGATTAATTGCTCTAACTGTCAGAAAAATTATCCTTAATTATAGAGCTTCTCTCCTTAATTAGTTTCCATCCATTACTTCTTGTGCTTTGAAAAATAGGTTGACCACCTTTTCTTTGTGGCATCTCCTGAAATATTGGAACACTGCTATTATATCCTCCAGTCCTTCTTTCCATTAATCTGTAATTAGTTTAAATCATTTTCAGAAGATTTTATAGAATTATTTACTAATTCTATATTTCACATGAGTGATGTGGTGGTTCAGTGGTTAAGACGCTGAGCTTGTCGATCACAAAGGTCGGCAGTTCTGTGGCTCAAATCCCTAGTGCTGCATAACAGAGTGAGTTCCCGTTACTTGTCCCAGCTTCTGCCAACATAGCAGTTTGAAAGCATGTAAAAATGCAAGTAGAAAAATAGAACCACATGTGGTAGGAAGGTAACAGCGTTCCATGCATCTTTGGTGTTTAGTCATGCTAGCCCCATGACCATGGAGATGTCTTCGGACAGCGCTGGCTCTTCAGCTTTGAAATGGACATGAGCACCACCCCTAGAGTAGGGAACGACTAGCACATATGTGCAAGGGGAACTTTTTACTATTTACCTATATTCCACATACTGTATTTTTTTGTACTGGACCATAAGACGCACATTAGCTTTAGAGGAGGAAAACAAGAAAAAAAATCTGCCTTTGCCTCCCAGCATCCACATGGTATTCATCTGGCTAGCATCCTTGCAGCAAACAGCCTGCCTCCTCCAGGGAATGCTGGAGACTTCGCTGCTGAGCAGCTGATTGGCAGTTGGATCAGCTTCCTGGAATACAGCTGTTCTAGGTGGCGGAGATCGCTGCCTATCGCCACCGCCATTCATTGCCGCTGCCTATCACCACCGCAGCAGTGATAGGCAGTAAGCGGCAATGACGGCAAACAGCGGCAGAGGCAGCAATCGCAGTCGCCTAGAACAGCTGATCAGAAGAATTCCAGGAAGCCAATCCAACTGCCAATAACCTGCTCTGCAGTGAAGGCTCCAGTGTTTCCTGGCGGCAACAGTGATATCAACCCCGCTCCCCTCACCACAACATTTGCTCTATAAAATGTACAGACATTTCCACCCACTTTTTGAAGGGGTGGGGTGCGTCTTATAGAACAAAAAATATGGTAATGGGACTTTTTTAAAACTCATAAAGTTCATTCATAAATTGCAAACTTTGTCAAAACACGGATTATTTTTCTTATTAACATGATATATATGTATAGCGTTTCCAGATCCTGGAGAAATATTCAACACTCTGGGAGCTTAATGTCAGTAATTTTTTCAGGGAGGGCATATCTTAATAATACCAATTATTTCATATAAAAAGATGTTCCTTTCTTTTGACAACTCCAAAATTTTACTGAATAGCTGAGAGACATTTAAGTTATTGTATAATGTATTTACTTTCATTGCAACTTTTATACTATATAGAGGCTGATAAAAAGCCTAACTTCCATAGTGTTTGCTACTTTGCATCTTCCATTTGTTTTCCCAAGTCTAAATCCCAAGCTTCATTTTGACCTACAGGAAGATCACCAAAATCATCATCATAATAAGGATGATGATGATGATGTTAATAATAACCTTCACAGTTCCTAGGTCCTTGGTTAGGACTTGAGCTGTTGAGCTACCAACCAGTCCCAAAGGCTGTGAATCTCACTAGAGATTAACCACATAATAATGATGATGATGATGATGCCTAAATATTTAAAATATGTATGATGACCTAGCCACGCCCACCCAGCCGGTCCAGCCCCCACCCCCAACAGTCTGAGGAACTGTGAATTGGCCCTCTGTTTAAAAAGTTTGAAGACCCCTGCTCTAGTCAATAAAAGTTAAGCATTTAAGTATTGCTCTTTTCATAACTGATCTTTTTCATGTTTAAAGATGGCAATCTTTGTGGTGTTTTTGACTACATACTAGCTATCCTTCTCTTTCAGGCATTTGATTTAACAGAACAGAGGTATGTAGCAGTAAAAATCCACCAGTTAAATAAAAACTGGAGGGATGAAAAGAAAGAGAATTACCACAAGTGAGTATTTCCACAGTTACATCATCCAAATGTTGGCATCCAACATGAATTTATGACAGTTCTGAGATCATTTGATCACCACCTTCTCAACCAACTCCTGACAAGAAAAAATAATTGGAAAGCCAGATTCACTTATCAACCATGTGGTTCACTTAACAACTATAGTTTTGGATTGTTGGGTATATATAGAATAATAGGAAGAGTTTTGTATTAACATATACTTAGGTTTCCCTTTAGATTGCATTAAGGTTTGTTTGAAGGTTTTATTAAAAACTTTGTTCATAAATTGTAAATGAAAATGTAATTAGAAAAATGTAAATATATTTTTTCTAGATATAGTTGAAAACCATGAAATAACTGTTTCCTGTGAGCAAAAATTAATGAATCACTGTCCATTTCTTCGTAATGTTATTATTTCTGGAATTGTACATTTTAGACTAGTCTAACTGAAAGTAGCTCAGACAAGAGACATCACAGCCCACAACTGGATAGAGGATAGAAGAGATTTAGAATAGCCACTCCTAAAATCTCCCAGAGTAGATCTGTTGGTGTGAGAATCGTAAAAGTTTAGTGTGCAAGATTGTCTGTTCATGTAAGCAAGTGAACCAAACATTGGCTTGATTGTTCTATGTCATTCTTGGGCTGGGCCTAACAACAACTGAGTTATTTTCCAAATCACCAAAAATAATATCCTTTGTTGATTCGAATCTAGCTGGATAGTATGTCCACTGCCAGTTATAACTCTTTAGATTGTTTTCAGAAAAACTAGAACATGCTCAGAGAAGAATATATAATAATGATCTGGAGATTGCTGCCTTGGCTCCATTTCAAAAGGCAGTCAAGTTGGATTTGTTCCAAAAGCCTTTAGAAATTATTTTCTTTTTTTTTTTCCAGGTTCAGGTTAACCCTATAAAAAGGCAGACTATATTCCTGCGTCATGATCTTGACAATATTTTCTTAATAGTTCCACTTATGTGCCATGTTCAGATTAAAAGTCAGGCATACTAAGTGATATTCGATACATTCAGTTTTGAGATAACATATTGTGTGAACTAAATTGTGATATTTTTAAAATATCCCATTCAGATGCATTCAATCTTCCATTTGCAGACCTACACTTTTCCTGGAAGTATTCTATAAAATAATTTTGAGGGATACCTGAGTTGAGTTTGGCACCTGACAAAGCATTACCCCCCCTTTTTTTTTTCACCTCCTGAAGTGCCAGAGGATTGATGAGAAGTCACTTGTAATAAATAATTTTCTTTTTCTTTTAGGCATGCTTGTAGGGAGTACAGAATTCATAAAGAGCTGGATCATCCTCGCATAGTTAAATTGTATGACTATTTCTCATTGGATACTGACTCGTAAGTGCGGCTGTCTTTGTAATTTGCATTGTTAATAAAGTCACTTGAAAGTTTGTGAGTAAGCTGTTTACAAATTTGCAGGAGGAGGAAATGGAGCAAACCAATCTGTTTTGAAATATGGATTATAACATTTAAAATAAAGCCTTGCCAGAAATTGTATTTGTCTGACCAATCCAATTATTAAGAAAAGACCTTTTGCAAGTCCCCACTCCTTATAAAGATGCATGGGGCATAGCAAATGCAGCATGCATTCTGAGTGATGGACCTATTTTGTGAAATACTTTTCTCTGGAAGAACAGATGGCCCAAATGCTACTGTCATTTTGTAAACAAAGCAGTTTTGTTCCAGCTTGGGTTCAGCCCTTAGATTAGTTTAGCTTTACAAGCATCTATGATGTTTATTCCTAGCTTTTAATTATTTTTAAATATTTACACTGAGCTTTTAATTATTAAATTAAAAGGACTAGAGTGCCTTGATACTAATATAGGTATACATCTGTGATGGTGAGCCTATGGCACATGTGCCTGAAGTGGCAGGTGGAGCCATGTAGCCTGGCACATGCGGCATCACCCATTCCTCTTCTGAGTTTGTGGTGCACATGTATGTGCGATAATCAACTGGCCATTGTGTGCAGCAATTCCAGAAACTGGAAGCGCTGGCTTTTCATTCCGGCCAGCTGATTGGCATGCGCATCAATAACCACAACACTAGCTTGCTGGTGTGCATGCATGTGCTGGAAACTGGAAGTCAAATTTACTGGCATGTGCATGGCCTCTGTGGCAGCTCCTCTTCCAGGTTGTGGCCCTGACGAGCACCCGCACCCCCTCCCTTTTCAACACTGGGTGCCAAAAACGTTCGCCATCACTGCTGTAGGACCGTGATGGTGAACCTACGGAATATGTGACGGAAGTGGCACACAGAGCCATCTCTCCAGGCATGCCAGCCATCACCCATTACTCTTCTGGGTTCTGGTCAGCTGGTATTCGCCCCTGCAGGAGTGTCGGATACCAGAAGAGCAGCTCCCTGGCATGCATGCGCAGCCAGGAAGCTGAGCCACCTGGCTTTGCAGATGCATATGTGCCAAAACAGGAAGCTCAGCTTCAGGGAACTGCTCTTCCTGTTTTCCGGCACTCCCACGTCCATGCACACTCCCATTTCGGCACTTAGTGCCAAAAAGGTTTGCCGACACTGGTATACATCTCATAAAATTTATGTTTCTTTCTACACAGCATGGTGGCTTACAATTAAAAAAACATAAATAGCTAAAATATGAGTAAACATTTATACCAAAGGAGCCATCCTAAACCTGCTTTGTTTCTTTTCCAAAAAAAACCAGATCAGTAGAAACCTAGTATAACTGAGGGTGTGCATTCCATAATTTGGAAAATATATATGATAGCCTTCTTTCACAAACCTCATAAATTGTGGAAAGGCAATTCATAGTTAGCATTCTGGGGAAATGTATCATGGAAGAAAAAATAGGATTTATAAAAGGGATTCAAGTATTATCACCTTGCACATAAGAGAAGCCTACAGTAATATTTCATTTTGTGGGTGCCAAATAGTTAACTTTTTGCAATTGAAATTTATGCTAAAAGTACTAAGTAAATTAGGTGTTAGCCCATTTTTTCCAATAATTTTACTCAGTTTAATATTTATCTTTTTCATCCAAGTTTAAAATATGACATTTCGAAACAAGCTAAGGTCTTGTCCCAAATGTGCTTTTTCAAGTGGCAACTGAACTTTCTTATTTTTCTTTGAAGACATTTCACTTCTCATCCAAGAAGCTTCTTCATCTCTGGTCTTATTAACGGATAAAAAATAAAGGAAAATGTGCTTTGTGTCAAAATTAATGTATTTGCATGATAAAGCATAGTACTGGTAAAATTAAAAATAACCTAAAAATATTTCACATTATAAAATAAATCCAAGAAAAGCAAATATACTACTACATAACACAGGACACTTACACATAACAGCATTTCTATTTATTTATGTTGTTTTAGACCACTTTCCAGCTTAAAAGACACAGTTATACATTCAAAATATACAGGAGATTTTAGTTGCTGAGAATGATTTTTTCAACAAATATGTGTGATCTTTTTAAAAAAATAATAAAGTTTTTTTATTTTTATGCATTTCATTGCATGAATGGTTTGATTGCTGTCATACAGTTCAATACCAATAAACATAACAGTATTATTCCTAGTAATATTTCATTTTTAGTTTTACTAACACGTAATTTCTACTGTCATCCTTCAATTCTAAACCTTCTCATAGTTTTACCATACATATCTTAACAACTGTTTTTGCTATTTTCTCCTCTTATTTCTATCTCTATTTTAGCCTCCCATTTCCCCCCCTTCCCCTATCATTCTAATATTCAAAGATGTGATCTTTCCTTTTTTCATTATTCAATATTTTAATATGCACTTCTAGCATATTTCAAGCATTTATCAAATTACTTAATCCTAGCTTTTCACTAATCACATTTTATACATATTTAATAATACCCTTATACAAATTCTGTTTATCTAATTTACAAACTATTTTTCAGCCTCTATAATTCTAATAATAATATACATTACAATATTACCTTACTAATATATATTCAAAAATGATTTTTCTCACACTTCATACAGAGTAGTTATTCAACTTATATAGTTCTAATATTCATACACATTATAAGGTATTTTCATAAAATGTTGCTTTACATTCCTTTCCTTTCCCATTATCCCACGTTTCACCCTCATCCAAAATTTTAATCTTTTTTTTGTTGTCACCCATACACATATTTTAATTCTTTTATTTCACCTACTTTTGAATCTCTATTGTAATGATGCCCTCTAATTTTCTCTCCCTTCGCCCTTTTTCCTACTGTCTTAATTCTATGACTGCCTGTTCTAACCCCCTTTTTCTTCTCTCTAGCTGTTTTCCTGTTTCTCCCCATTTCCTTTTCACATCTTTTAGAATATTTTCCTTCTGTTCTACTCCCTTATTGACCATCAATTGTACTAATATCTTCTTGTTGCCTTCTTTTGATTTCCCGATTCTGCTGTCTCCTCCACTCTTTCTGATAATTCCTTTTTTTTCCTCAATGTCCTGTTCTTTACTTGTTCCTTGTATCATATTTTCTAGTTTTTAATCTATACATTCCATACAACCAAATATTTCCTTCATCTCTTGTGTTCTTTTATAAAATCCTTAATGTCTTGGTACATCAGCTCCATTTCATTGTCTCCACTTGCTTCCATTTTACAATCAATCCAATTTAAGAAAAGAAGCCAGGGGGTTGTCCATGCCTCTTCCAATCACTTTTATTTGCTTAACAATATTCAGGGTCACTTGACTAAAGGTCTTGTTTATTGCATAAGTCTCCAGTAATTTTTAGGTAAATACTTACAATCCAACAATGTAAAAGGTTCCAAAGTTGCACAGTTCTCCTTTTAGCAGCAGATGACACTCAAACTTCAGCTTGGTTCTGCCTCTCTGTGTAGTGCTGATTTTAATTATTTTAAATTTGTAAATCCAGGAGGGCAACATTTATAATAATAAAAAACAAGCTCCAGATCAAATTCCAGTATTTTAAAAAACATTTTGAGAGTTCAATTTTCTTTTCCTTAGTTTTCTTTCAAAAAAACTTCTCTTTTAAATATTCTGATTTTTTTTTTTAATGTACTTTTCCCACTGCTGGCCAATAGTTCCAATATGCTTTCCCCTTGAATTTCTTGGGGTCACTTTTCAATAAAAAGTAGTCTCTTACCCAGTTCACAAGCCACTCATTTCTCTATTCCTGCAGTCTTAGGTTTTTCAGGCTGTAGTTTGGCTTCATGGCAGCCATGTTTGCTGCCGCTGCTCCCGCTCATCAGCTGAAGGGTCTTTCCTAGTCAGGGGGAGAGATGCGGCTCCCCTATACCTGTTGGCCTCTACCCTATACCTGCCCTTCAGAGTGGCTATTGTCCAAATTTAGACCATCCAATAAGGAGAGATCGGAGCTGACCACAGAGTTCCCAGATCAGGCTTCTGGAGGTGCCGGAAATGCAACCAGAAGTATATGTGACCTTTTAAGAACAGCCATGTACAAGTTGCTCTGAGACTGACTAACATTTCCCGACTAAGAATCGAAGAGGGTTGTCATTTCCAAAGACCAGGACCTATTATCTTCCAGATATGTTAGATGCTATAGTATATGTTATCCCATTTAAGGACATTTTCCCCAGAATTAAAGAACAATTAATGTAGCAAAGAAAGGAAGAACATACTAATATAAGAGGGAAATACAGGCAGTATTGAGGATTTGACCCTTGATTCATATTAAAAGTGTAGAATTTCAAATTTCAAAACAGTACATAGAAATGTACTGTTAGAAATACATACTGCCCAAACTTTTTCTTTTCTGATATTGAAAGGAATTATTTCAAAATATTAATAGAAATATATAGTGATTAAATGAATAATTTCATATTAAAATTCCAAATGAATCAAGAAAGTACATTCATATAAATTCTATTAAAGCATGTTGCAGGTGAATTCAGTATCATTTTTTAAAAAAAATATGTGATACATTAATACCAATCAAGATTTATATAAAAAAGAAAAGTATTTTTGGATCAGTAGACACTAAAAGTGTTTAAGTATGTCACATCATTCTCATGAAAGTCTGATCAGACATAAAATAAATGATGATGTGTTGCTCCAGCTTATCTTTATCCTTTTTTACCAGTAAATAAACACACTTTGAAAAAAAGCTCATATGGTTAAAAAAAAGTAAGGTCTATCGCTTCTTGGCTAAAATCAGGTTAATAGGTCTATACCTACTATGCATTTTTGAGTCATTCATATATTGGTGCAGATGTACAGATCAAGAAAAATCATTATTTGTGATTTCTTAAGTAAACATTAAGTTGATTTTGATACATGTATAAAACATGTTTGATTTCACTTCCTCCAGATTTTGTACAGTATTAGAATACTGTGAGGGGAACGATCTGGACTTCTACCTGAAACAGCACAAATTAATGACAGAGAAAGAAGCCCGATCTATAATCATGCAGATTGTAAATGCATTAAAATATTTAAATGAAATCAAGCCACCTATTATTCATTACGATCTCAAACCAGGTAAGTTCATAGTGAAGATTGTACTGCACCAGGGGGTGGGGGGGAGGGCAGAATATGATATATTTTACAGGATTATGCTTCCTTGATGATTGAATGTGAAATATGTAGTTTGGTTTGATTATTTAGCAATTATCACTGTAAACTTCCATAGTCATAACTGGGAACATTGTCAATCCTTTCTCTCCTAATTGGGTACTATCCTTTTGTTTCTTTGAGAAGTATTAAATATTCTGCTCCACTTGTAGTGCTAATATCTTCAATGGTAGATAGATGTTATTCTGAAAAGGAGATCAGTAATTATCTTTAAATTTTATCTTTTATTCAAGTTGTAACGAGGTGCTTTAGTGAACTGGAGTTGATGCATGGTTTTAATTTGACTCATGTTTGTGTGATGTTCTTTTATCAGTGAAATGAGTTAGACTGAGATGGGAAGAAAGCTCATGAATGGAAATTATTATTAAGATGACAATGATGGATCTTTTGATCTTCTGGTCCTGCTTAGCCTTCATGTTTATTCCTACAAAGTTATTCTAAAACAAAACTGCTTTAGTTTATTGTGTTATCATTTTGTATGGATGATTATTTGTTTTGATTGAATGTTATAAGAGAACTTAATTGGAGAGCAACTAATACATTTTAGAAAATTATGGTTGGTTGCACAGCCCGCCAGATATTTATACTGGATTTGGCATGTTTGTTCAACCTGTCAAATTCTTCTCCAAGACCTACAAATAGGAAGGTGTTATTTAATAATATTAAAGGTATTGTCACAGGATATAAGCTGTTCCAAGTAAATCTATCTTTTACCATTAACTGATGTTAATTTTGTCAGTGTTCCAAGTAGTGCTCTAGACCAGTGGTGAGTTCCTACCGGTTTGGCCAAATCAGTAGTGGTTTGGCGGCCTGGGCTGCTGGAACCGGCGTGGACCCAGGCCTGCCACGCCCCTGAACCGGTTCTCATGGGACTGCCATCTTTATGGCTTCTGTGCACGTGTAGAAGCATTTTTACAATACTGTGCATGCATGAACGCTGCACAACCACAAGCAAACAGGCAGTAGCAGCTGCCGGAATCCACCCCTGCTCCAGACGTTTTGGAATTCCACCCAAGATACCTTATTACTGTTGGTAATATTCACTTTATTTTATTTTTCTACTTCATTTGCAGATCTTTTGTGTTTTTGATTTTCTCCTTTTCTTTGTCTTCTGTTGTCTCCAGGTATTGCCACATCCACTATCCAGATTTTTTGTTTTTCTTGTCAACAGTCATTAAGTCATGTGATAGATGCTTGTCTGTTTGAATTCTAAAGTCCTAGAGCACTTTAACTTCTTCATGTTCTATTACTAGATACTCCTGTACACCATTGTTGCTGTTTTGTCTTTCCCTCGTGTAGTCAGTCTGTGCCATCTGCTTACAGCAGTTAACTAGGTGCCCGATTGTTTCTGCTGCATCAACAAATGCAGAGGTGGTATTTGTTGTCTGTAGCTGTCCTCTCAATTCTGCCTTTATATGCATTCGTTCTTAAGGCTTGGTCTTATGCAGCCAGAATTAGCCCTTCTGCCTCTTAATTCAACTTTCCCGCTTTTAGCCATTGCCAGGTCTTGTCCTATCTGCTTTGCCTCCTATTTCTTTAATGTACTAGCCATGTAATACTTTGCCTTGTTGTGTCTCTTTTCAATTTTTCATTTGGTCTTTCTTATAGACCAAATAGACTTTCATATAGTCTCTCCAGTACTTAGTAAATATTCCTGGTACACTAGCTTCTATGCATTTTCAAATATTTCTCCAATGCCTCTTCTTCAGTTGCTTGGAGTACATCCCACACCCACCTGTTTTCCTTGGTTAGCAGAATCTCCCAACATTGCTGTGGGGATGAAAGGCATGATTCATGATCATTTTTCTGGTCTTCTATCCAGGGCTTTTACTTCTGCTTGAGTCCAGTCCACTATTCCACCTCTATATCTAATGATTGGAATTGTCCAGGTTTGCCTTGGTGATATTTCCTCCACTGAGTTTGGACTTTTAATATCTTCTTCAGTCTTATGATGTATTCACTTCTAACCCTCTTTTTGGCTTCAGTGTGCTTGATATTGCCAGCTTGAAGGATGCCCAGGGGTTTGTAGTGATTGTCTTCATCTAGATTCTTGATGTTATTTTCAGAAGCCATCTTGATTCTTTCAGTTTTCAATATTTTTTCTGTTGATGGTGGTAGAAGCACATTTGTTCAGTCCAAAATCCTTTCACTTTCTTGGCTGTATAAATGAACAGTGTTGAGAATCAATTCTATTTCAGCAGGTATTTCACCATACAGCTTCACATCATCCATGTAAAAGAAATGGGATATCTTAGCAGATATCTTTGATGTTTGAGAGCTATGGATTGATGTGTTCAGTATTATTGACATCAGTGCAATAACAAACAGTAGTTGTGGTAGTCTCCTTGAAAGATTCCTCATTTGATATTAACCTCTCCTGATCTAAACCATTGAGCAGCAATTATGTCTTCCATTGTCCCATTGATCTTTGTACAAAGATCAGTAGATCTATTTCTACTAATTCCACTTATTTCTAGGCACTTGATTATCCAATCATATGGCAGGAAGTCAAATGCCTTCTAATAATTAATCCAAGCTACATTGCAGTTCATCTTGTCTTGCAGTTTCCAAAAGCATCTTGTCAGTTTCTAAAGTATTGTTCCTGTGCTGTCTGGGCAGTTTCCTTTCTGCCCAAATGGAAAGAGCTTGTTTGGACTGCATCAGTTACCACACAGATACAATCTGAAAGTTATTGCTAAGTAGACATCCTGCACCTTGTTGTTAAACTGTTTATCAATGGATGGGTGTAGACCAGGGGTGGTATTCTGCAGGTTCTGATCAGTTCTGGAGAACTGGTAGCAGAAATTTGGAGTAATTTGGAGAACTGGTAAATACCACCTCTGACTGGCCCCTTTCTATTCCCCCCCTCCCGGCTGATTTCCCCTTCTGTGCCAATTTTTTTGTAAACACTAAATTTTCAAAAATAGGTTTGGGTCACGACCAAATCGGTTTGCAACCAAAAATATGGAACGAATTATGGTTGTGACAAGAGGTTCTACTGTACTACAGTAGCAATAAATTGGGATAACCACCAGGAGCCATCATGAAGAAGCCTACAAGTATTTTTCAGTTGGATAATATGAAACATGAAGACGTTAAAATGTGATTAGTAAGTAATACATCCAGAGTGAAAAAAGTGCTGAAGATGATAGAAACACCATCAAAATCATTAGTATCTGGGCTATACCCATGATGTGATATACTGCTAGAATTTTAACTGGATAGTTTGGACCACAAAACAAGTGATGGCAAAACTATGATACCTGTGTCAAACGTGACATGCCACAGCATATTGGTGGCATACCAGCATTCACCAATACCTGACAACTATTTTTGAAAACATACCTTGTTCTTGTGCAATTTTTGAGGCTGTGGAGGCTGGGTGAAAATAGGCTGTGCGCACAAGACCTATATTCTGAAAAATATTTCAGAATGGGATATGCTTTTATGCAGCTTTCAGAGGCTGCAAAAGAGCATTTTAGAAGCCACTTCAAGAATGAAGGCCTCATGTGACATAGAGTAGCCTCACATAGGCTGCAGTGGCCTGTAACAAAAAAAAGACATTGCCTGAAGATAAGTGACACAGGCAGATCCTGGGGAGTGCTGACTGCAAGGTAACCGTTCCTTGGGGAATGGTACAAGGTAGCCTTTTTGAGTGGCAGTGGTGTCCTAGGACTGAAGTTGAAACCTGGATCTCCAATTCAGGCCCAGCCTTGGTGCAGCTGCTGAGTGTTACTGTTCAGGATGGTTTTAATGAGGGAAGTGGGGGCAATAATAGAGAATTATTTCTCTTTCTTTTGGGACATAAGAGCAGATTCAAGGCATTTCCAAAATTTTAACATGCCAAGCCCACGTCTTGGGAAGAACGCTGTGTATATGAAGGCCAAGACCAGCTAAAGAACTGGTAGCTGTGAATTCACAGCATAGACACTGAATATTTTCATTTCCAAACAAGGCACCCTATCCTATGCCTTCTCCTAAGAAAGAACAGAGTTCCCTACCAAAAGAAAAGATTAAAACAAAGAATAATTCAACATCTAGAACAGCATAAAAACAACCAAATAAGCAATAGCAATAGCATTTAGACATATATACCACTTCACAGTGCTCTACAGCCCTCTCTAAATGGCTTACAGAGTCAGCATATTGCCCCCAACAACTTGGGTCCTCATTTTACCCACCTCGGAAGAATGGAAGGCCGAGTCAACCTTAAGCCTGGTGGGATTTGAGCTGCCAAATTGCTGGCAGTCAGCAGACGTACCCGGTAATGCTGCATTCTAACCACCGCACCACCATGGCTCTAACACAATTGCTGGTCTACACCAGGGTAGGATTCAAAAATTTTATCAGCAGTTCTGTGGGCATGGCTTGGTGGGCATAGAGGGGAAGGTTACTACAAAATCCCCATTCCCTCCCAATCAGCTGGTACTCGGAAGACAGAGAATTGTGCATTTTTTGGTCAAAACCAGATTTGATCATGTACAGAAGCATTTGTGACCATTTCTTTAGGCCAAGTTCCATTGCTGTGTCTATGCTAAAAATTCTTAAGGTAATGTATCCATGATTGACAATGATTTCTGGTTTTCTACAAAGCTGTAGATTATCCGTATAAAGCAAAAGTCTGTTGGCTTACCTGAACGGCTGTTCTCTGTGCGTTATGGGAGAATCCAAGCATGGGTTAAATTCAGCCCATTAGCCTAGAGACTGAGTTTGAAAAAGTGTTGACTACACCTCTCTTGTCCTCCGGAAGTGAGTTTTTTAATGCAGCATAGCCGGAAGAAGAAATGTCCAAGATGATGATGAGTTGGTGTCAAAGGTAGGTATGTACGCTAATCCTGGACCAGCTGGACACAGGGCGGGGTTGGATTCTCCCGTAAGCCAACAAAATTTCTCATGTGCGCTGCTTAGAGGATCCAAGCATGGGATACACCAAGGTTAGAATCACAAGGGTGGGAAGAGGCCTAGTCCAGGGCCCCGGACTCAGATTGAACTCTCTGCAGTATTTGCCACCTGAATGATGCCGAGGCGAACTTGTCCACTTTGTAATGTTTGATGACGGGTGACGGAGAAGACCACGTCACCATCCTGCAGATCTCTTCTACTGATGCTTGTGTGTCCCAAGCTGTTGAGGTGGCCGTGCTCCTGGTGGAATGAGCTGTGATATGTCTGGGCAGTGGTTGAGACTGGTGTTCGTAGGCCAAGGAAATGCAGGCTTTAAGCCAGTGTCCTATGATCGAGGGAGTAACCTTCATGCCCACAGCAGCCGGCTGAAAGGAAATAAAGAAGGACTGTCATTTGCAGAAGGATGCAGTGCGTATAATGTACCTGCGAAGAGCCCTCCTGATATCTAGGAGATGCCATTTCCGTTCAAGTGGATGAGTCAGCCTAGGACAGAAATTTGGAAGGACGACCTGATGGCCACGGTGAAACCAGGAGTTAACTTTTGGAAGGAACAAAGGGTCCAACCTCAAAACAACTCTGTCTGAATGGAAGACACAAAGGTCCTTCCTGACCAACAGGGCCTACAGGTCCAATACTCTCCTCACCGAGGTAATGGCGATGAGGAAGACATTAAGGGTAAGACTGAAGTCACTTATATCTACGATAAAAGGCCGGCTACCCAATCCTTGAAAGGACCGCCTGTTCTGGGACTGCTGCTGTTGGAACTGCTGCTCTCCGCCCCTATCTCTGAACACTGATCTGTCCAGGATTGATCCGGACCCTATGAATAGGTCCGGTGGTATGGCTGGTAACTTAAGTTCAGTTTCCCAAAATAACTGCCTATGAAATAAGGGAGCGTGCTTGTCAATGTAAAGAGGCCAGGACCGTGCGCTTATCCTTATTTTTGACCAAAATGGGATCCAAGGCCTCCCCAAACAGCTTCCCACCTTTAAAGGGAGCGGAAGCAGATGCCATTTAGAGCGCATGTCAGCCTGCCAGTGGCGGAGCCATAGGAGGTGACGAGAAGAAATATTGGAGGCCATAGTTTAAGATGCAAACTTGGCAGCATTTAGCGTTGCATCTGAAGAGAATTTAATGACTGCCACCAGTTTATTAACATTATGGTGTTGAATGTCCTCCACCAGGGGAAATCCTGGCCTGCAACTGCTAAAGCCACACTAGGGAAGTCCGGTTGAAAAAGGACACAGCCTTAGCCGCACAGATCATCCAGGCAGCCACCTGATGGGTTTTACAGAGTGTCAACTCCGCCTTGCAATCCTCCGCATGAAGGCCCTCTGAAACATCCGAAGGCACAGTGGCAGGAGAGACTAGAGTGATAAGCTGAGCATCCACAGATGGAATCTGGAGCAGCCCTTCTAAGTCCTGGCCGCAATCATAAAGCTTCAGATCATCATTACTGAGGGGAGGTATGGATCAAGGTTCGTTCCACTGTTGCTGAATTACATCCATGAATAGCTTAGGAGAGAGAATGACCTGTTCGGGTACTTATTCAGAGAAAAGACGTTCAGTGGCATCCAATCCTAAGGCTGCCCCAGCCAAGGCCTCCAGGGTTCCCATATTCACTGTAGCCTTGACCTCGTACAGAAGGGACTTAAATAAGGCTTTGCAAAATAACCCTGAAAAATGTGGTGTCAGGGCCTAGACCTTCATCCTCTGACAGTTCCTGCTCAGCCATGTCTTCATCCCCTATCAGCGAGGCCTTGCTGTGCAAAGAATGGCAAAGTGAAGGGGGATCAAATACTGGACCTAGAGGAGCCCTGGGTATACCCAATGGATGGAGTGACTGTCCTCTGCACTGTATTTTTGAGTCTACCCCCTGGGAAATTGATACGGAAATCAGGTCTTTAGTTTCCCGGGGGAGAATCATCGCCTGACCCTCCTCTGTTTTTCCAAGGCTTGCTGCCTCCGCTCCGTGTCCTTAGTGGCAGACGCTGACCTGGTAGTGGATCTGCTGCATTTAGCTGTGAAGGATAGAGCCCTTGCAGCGGCCCTACCAGTCCTGGAGCCAGATGCCTCCGTAGAAGGTGATTGGTTGGGGGATGGCTCTGCCGCCCCACTGCTACCCACAATGGAGTGATCCGCCATCTTGCAGCCTTCCGACAAGGTGCTGGCCCGAGACTAAGCACTGCACAATCTGGAAGCAGCCACTGTTAGAAACACTCACTGCGGTGATCAAGGGCAGGAAACCAGCGCCAAGGGACGATATCAAGGCAAGGCAAAGGCTGCCACCAAGCAAGTTCTGTAATCGAATGGTAAGAGTGCGGGTAAAAATGGTGCAGGCACAGTAAACCAGTGCTCTCGGCACCAAGACCAACAGTCGTGGCTCATCACGTCGGAAGTGCAATTGGCGCAAATTCAACAGACACCTCCTGCACTGCCGGCTCAGCAGCGGAATTCAAAACAAGGGGAAAAACTTGAAATTGAGGGAACCCTTACACAGGAGCAGCGAACCGGTTTTTCAAGCGTCAATATCCTCCCCACCACCAAGGGAGGCTAGCTCGAGTGATAGGCAATATTTCCGGTCACTCGAGCTCCAACAAAAAATGATCCTTAGGAGCTCCAACACACCCAAAGAGCCAACAGAGAAGGGACAGTGGCGGTTCTCTCCAGCAGACCGGGAGAAAACAGCGCCCTCACCCGCAGCCAAAAGGCGATCTGAGACACACAAAGCTTACACTCAATTCCGTCTGTATGTAATCTGCTGTAAAACACTTCGGAGAATCCAAGTTGTCCGATAATTCACTTCTTTTATTCCACAGTTGAAAATTGAGTTGGAAAAAGTCTTGAATATATTTCTCTTAGGCTAGATTGAGTTAAAAAAACTGACTTCTGGAGGGCAAGAGAGGCGTGATCAAGACTTTTTCAAACTCAGTCTCCAGGCTAATGGGCTAAATTTAACCCATGCTTGGATTCTCCAAGTAGCGTAAAGGTGAATGTGAAATTTTATCAGCATATTTGATGTTTGATAGCCACGATTTGTTTTTTATTATATACTTTATTCATTATGAAACTCAGCCAACTGAACATTAAAATGCATTACAAATACCAGTGACTGGTGCTAATGGTTGATACGGTTTGCTGCCAGTGTCCTAGGTATCAACCAAGTACCTTCTTAAAATATAAGATGTTCCGAGTAGCGCATTTTTTTTTTTGCAGTTCTGCTGGTGTTATTGCAGGAAGCTGCAATTTGTTGATGTATCTTGTAAAATTCTTGGCCATGGTACCAAGATGCCCCGATGACAATGGGTATCACTGTAACATGCTTCATCCATAGCCGTGTACTTTCAATGGCCAGATCGCGATGTTTCATTATTTTTTCTAGTTCTTTTTCTTCGACTCTGACACCTCCAGGAACAGCGATATCAATAAACT